GAGTGCCATGATCGGCGGTAAGCGCACAATATAATAAACTATGAACCCGGCAAACTGAATTCGATTCCCAGCCATGGCTTTCATCAGTGGTGAGTGCAGGTCGGCTTACCTGTCCTGGCCTGCCTTGCCCCCCTTCAACCCTGGCTGGCCAGCAATGGTGAAGTATGGTCAAACCATCACGGTTTAACATGGCATGGGGGGAGACCTTCATCCTGCAGCGAATTGACAAAGGGGCTGTACCATTGCTAGACCTATACGTAGTAGTCGTAGACAATTCGGCTTTGTCATGCAAAAAGATGGGTGCGCGCAAAAATAAAAATTGGCCGGTAACATTGTTCATCGCGCACTTTCAGGTGCGCTTCTGCGGCCGTCTGGAACGCTCTTCCTTCCAATAGTAGGAAGCCGCTGGAGATATGCACTTTTAACTAGGCTGAAAACTCATTTCTTGAAAACAGCTTTTTGTTGTTTAGTTTGTAGACCTTCTCCCGCGACTCTGAATCGCGCAGTGAGCTATGTACGGTGCGAAATAAATTCTACATATACACTTTTGGCTTACGACGCTAAATAGTCATCGACAACATTGCCCAAAGGACTCCCTTGTACATTTCAGCAATTTCCAAGATTAGACGTTAATGTGTAACAGCAATAGCTATACTCGTGATCGGTCTGGAGTGTCTGGAACCAGAGTGCTTCTCATGCCTGTGGAGTGTGAGTTGCACCGTCTCACACACACGTGGCGCTAATTGTCTTCCACAATGACTCCCGTTGATTATTGGCTGCTGCTGCTGCTGCTGCTATAATAACAATAACCATGTGGCAATCAGGCAGCCACGACGTGGGTGCATCTGCCCAAGGAGCCTCTTGGAACTCCGATGCTGCTCCGGTGCCCATGGCTGTCTTGCTCACGGCGGGAATCTGCGGCGCGTGGCCACACACACACACGCAACAACGGCAACAAAAAGTTCTATAATATATCTATCGTAATTGCGTTTGAGCTGTTCTCTTAGCACGTAGAATGATGTCTTCCAACTTCTAACACGTCTGACCAGTGCATAGAGAGGGGGTGGATGTCTAGCAGTGGTGCGCGTGAGGAGTCGCTTGCATGCAGGGCTGCCCCCTTGACCCGTTTTAGCCTACTGGCAATGCATCGGTGGACGAAGGCTTTTTGTTGTTTAGTTTGTAGACGTTCTCCCGCGACTCTGAATCGCGCAGTGGGCCATGTGCGGTGCGAAATAAATTCTGCTGTGTCGGTCGTGGGGGTTGTTTGACCATACTTCACCATGCCGGTTATTGAAGGGAGAAGATCGGGGGGGGGGGTGTTGGGGGAGATACCACTTACCATGGCCGGGAATAATATTCGTGTTTCCGAGTTGACATTGCGCTAACTACAGCACCGCCGCTCCTTCCCACCGTAACGGTGTTGGTACACCTACACATTTAATTGGGAATCTGTCACAGTCTAAACTAATGGATAGTTCTTCTTGGTTCTTTCGGTAAAGTCACGTAGAAGGGAAATAATAAAATAATAAAAATAAAGCATAATAAAATTATATAATAATATAATTAATATTTTTTCTTTTAATCTTTCGGTAAAGTCACGTAGAAGGGAAATAATAAAATAATAATACTAAAAATCATATAATAATAGAATAAAATATTTTTACTTTTTTTTATTTTATTATTTCCCTTCTACGTGACTTTGCCGAAAGAGCCAAGAAGATGAATCCCTTCAGTCACGAAAGCTTTAAATCGAAATTTAATGGATAGTTCATTAGAACGATGCTCGTGGAGGGGTAGATCTTCTAAACCGCATCGCCACGCGAGAAAAAAAGCAAGTCCCTGTTTGACCCTACATGTCTCTTGTCGATAAATTAGATTGATGCGCCATTGATAAACAAACCACAGCGTTAGACAACAACAACAACAACAAAAACTATGCTTGGAGTTTTTTTTTAATTGACCACATCATTGTGATTTATTAAATGTAGTGACTGAATTAAATTATTTTTTGAGCCTCATTCTGCTGTTTGTTTGCAAAATGCTATGCGATGGCTACAGCGGAGTCTGCCAAAACGCGCGGCGTGCGAACGCTTTTAAGAGAGCCACGCGTTCCCCGCTGGGAAATTGTCGCGAGAGCAGCCCGGACTTTCTGGTCAAGTATGGTTCTAACCACGTGACAAAAAAACCTCAACGAGCGGTGCAGCCTCCACAGCCTAGTGGGGTGGGTGCAGTGCCGGATGATCCGAGTAGCACGAGTAGCTACATATATCATTGTGATAGTAGCTACTACATGTGTAGCTACTACATGTGTAGCTACTACATATGTAGTAGCTGCGGACCTCGCACTTTCAAGGGCCCCGCGCTAAATGCTTTCAAGCTATCAATTCCGGTTTCTGTGATTCAGCACTAGCTCTATTACTATAGTACTATACCGCCTTCAACTTTTTTTAACTACTGGGTGTTTAAGGTTAGCGATTTGTCGCATTATCTGGCTGTATAGCAAAGGAAAACATACAATTACTTTACTATGCAAGTTACAACATTTTGTGTTTTAATATTTACGTGTTTTTTTCTTATTTAGGGCCCCTTTATAACATACGCTACAGGCCCCGCACTCGCTTCATCCGGCACTGGGTGGGTGTGCTGGAGGGGGCTGACCCCCCCCCCCCCACCTTATCTTGCTGAAGGGATCAGCCCCCCCCCCCCTTGACTTAACTCTTAGATTAAAGTCATTTGTATGCATACATGTTGAGCTTCTTTCGCACCGTACGTAGCTAACCGTGCTAATCAGAGATTGTATATTTGACACGTGTATATAATTGATACACAAACTGCTCATGGGTTGCCACAGTGAAGTGCTCTGGGTAATTAGATAAATAAATAAACCGTAGCTCTGTGTCGCACAAACGCTAAGTACACGTTTCACTCAAACCAGCAGCATTTGTCTAAGCATGGAAACTCTGCTTTCATTCGTCTGGGGCTCATCAGCGTAGTGTAACCGGCACACGTGCTAAACAAACGCTGCTGGTTTATCGGATAAGCATAATTTATTGGCAATTATTCATCGTATTTATTCCACAGCATCTCTAAAGTTAACTCCAATTACACATGCAATATAAGACATCCGGTTAGACGTGGAAGGGGGAAAAGGAGGACACAGACATTACCCACGGCACGGGGACACTAGCAGCACAGGGAGAGACTGTGACCTGGGCACCACAGACCATCAAGCACGATTCACAGGGGGTGTCTGGGAAACAGGAGTGGCCTCTCTCTCTCTCGACATCACAGCGCTGTCGACGCCGCCAGAAATAACATCGCAACGGACATCGCAAAGTCCGCTGCTGTGACGGCACATTCGGTGTGGACGGCCCGTCTTGCAATCTCACACGCAAAATGCGCAGCGCCCGTCGGGGGGGGGGTCTGTTGTCCTACCCGCAAGCCTTGCTCACGCAACATTTCTCCCCGTAAAGCGTTGAAACAAAACAAATAAATGGGTGCCGTGACGTCGCGTCACGGCGGTGTTTGTGCTTTCCTTCTGCAAAGTTTCTGTAAAACGACGCGTGGGAATTTGTATTTTGTTGCGTGCGTTCAGCCAAATTCTCTACACCTCTCCGTCACACTTCTGACTCATGTGTGACCCTGCACGGCTGCATTTTTATTTATTTTCATTTCACTATCTTATTGACAATGAGGGGGGGGGGGTGGGCGAATAAATGACGAAAGAATGCGGCCGTGGTTGGTGCTCATCGTCGGGACTCTCGCTGGCCTGGCCTCATTAGCATCACGCAGCAAAGGACTCCGAGTTTCTCATCGGGAACTCTCATTGTTCTCACATCTTACCCATTCGAATGTGCGCGATTAAACCACTGCGCGCGTATTGCCACTCGCGTGTCGTGCTCGTTAGGGGGCATTGTTGTGTCGATTTTTTTTTTACAAAGGCACTAATTTTGTACCGTTGCTTTTCATAATATACATGCACGCATGTGCGTATGCACGCAGATATGCAGGGCTTAATTTCAGCTGGAGCTGCCGCTGGATGTGCCGTGTGGCGAGCCACTTTGAGACGCCCCGCTAAAATAATTGCGGATGGCATTACTGTGCAGGAAAAAGGGCATTTGAATTCAAAGCCCCTGCACGTGTCCCACCAAATCTTCCCTCCCCTGGTCCACCTTGTCCAACAAAGTCTGATTTGCTTCGACATTAGGGTTGAAGCCGTACATACATCTCAGTGGGGCAATCTACAAGGCTTCATTTCGGCTGGAACTGTCTGGGGCTGAGCTGCAGAAAATATATCTCCCTGCCACCTACCCCCCTCCCCCACCCTCCGCTATGAGAAATATTCCATGAGAATTTTAATCTCCTTTACAGAAATTTTAAAATATATATACACGCAAAAAAATGTTCGCGTTGATTTCATTCACAATTCCAACCCGTCTTGCAGACGCTGAAAGTCCAGACTGTTTTATTGATTTCTCCGAGTGATTTGTTGAAAATTGCGCAGAGTGGACAAAAGCCCGCTGTGACCTCTCTATTTGCCCCCCGCACCCCCTGTCTCTGGGGGACATTGAAACATTTAACACACGTTCTGTTCTTCTTGGTTCTTTTGGTAAAGTCACGTAGAAGGAAAATAATAAAATAATAAAACATAATAAAATAATTCTCACGACGTTTCGGCCACAACGCAAGCAGCCGTCTTCAGGTGGAGAACAGGTCTGTCGAGACTCTGCCTTCTCGACAGACATGTTCTCCACCTGAAGACGGCTACTTGCGTTGTGGCCGAAACGTCGTGAGAATTATTTTATTATGTTTTATTTTTATTGTTTTATAATTTTCCTTCTACGTCACGTTACCGAAAGAACCAAGAAAATGAATCCCTGCAGTCACGAAAGCTTTAAATCGAAACACATTCTGTTTTTTGTTTTCTCCCCTCTGTGGGGAGTGGCACGGTGTGAAAAATCGCGTTCTCACCGCGTGTCCGTGTTTCCTTTCGCTCGCAGGGTGCCTGCGCTGCCTGTTAAGAATCTGGGTGGCTCTGGCCCAATAAATCCAGCCCTGGCGGGTGAGTGTTCTCATAACAGAATGATCGTCATTTTTAAATCCTTTATATTAAGTTCACTTGCTTGCGCGCTTACGACCGTGCAAATCTGTCGGTCGTTTTTTAACCCACTTCCCGTGATCCAATCGAGCTGACATTTTGCACACAGATTCGTTGTGCGTGACAATTTATTTTCGTGAAAAAAAAACTTCCAAAATGTTCCACTTTTTAGGAAAAAATGTTTTCATATTTAATTGAAAATACCAATGTGATCAAAATGAAACTCTTACTCAAGAAAATAATAAAATAAAACCGATGCCACGCATATAAAGGATTTATAGTGAAAAACGTTGTTTTGACGGGTTAATTTTTTACAGATGTTTAATAGGATATTTGTCTTATCGTGTGCGTGCAGGTGTCAGTGTGTGTGTGTGTATATGTGAGGGCTGCTGCCATGGTATAATGTTTACCGCAATGAACTTGTAATGCAAAGGTCGCCACTTTGATTCGATCGGTTTAAGTAATGGTGCACTTTTCTTAACCCCCTCCCTCCCTCTCCCCCGACTGCCTCTATTCACCCAGCGCTATAAATGGGTAAGCCACAGCCAGTCAATAGGCAGGTCGCGTCTGGTGTGGTAAACAAGTCGGTGCCCCCCCCCCCTCGCCTCTTCCCGAGCGGGTGGTCAACGTCAAAAAAGAATCTTTAGCAAAGCCGCGTGAATGTCCCCCTCCGGCGGAGGCCCGTCTGCCGTCGGTGGATTGAAAGACGAGGCCATTCGCCTGTACGCACACCTGCAAACCTCACCTTGCCGGCTCGACTCGTAAAGAGCTTCGCCCTTCTTCTTGGTTCTTTCGGTAAAGTCACGTAGAAGGGAAGTAATAAAATAATAAAAATAAAACATAATAAAATAATTCTCACGACGTTTCGGCCGAAATAATATATTTAAAAAATGTACTTTTTATTTCTAGATTTGAAGCTTTCGTGACTGCAAGGATTCATATTCATAGGTTTTTTCGGTAAAGTCACGTAGGTAAAACATCAAAATTAATAAAAATAAATAAAATAAAAAAAAAATCACCTCCGAAACGTCGTGATTTTTGTTTTATTTTATTTATTTTTTATTAATTTTGATGTTTTACCTACGTGACTTTACCGAAAAAAACCTATGAATATGTACTTTTTATTATTTTATTATTTCCCTTCTACGTGACTTTACCGAAAGAACCAAGAAGATGAATCCCTGCAGTCACGAAAGCTTTAAAAAGAGCTTCGCCCTTTTAGGTGAAAAAAATAAATACAAACTACACGGCGCAATAAACAATGACGTGGTCCGATGAGAGGCATAAATACGAAAACAAATCGAAGCATTCTCAATCTGGAAGGGATCATTAACATCCCCAATTAACACGGCAGTAACGGCCCGCGCGAAGGACGTTTACTGTAGGCGTCGTGGGAATGTGCGTGGGAGCGTACAAGTTCAGCTTTCTACAGCCCACTTTCATATCTCCGCACGAGCAGCGTGCTGGTGGTCACGTGAACTTGCCCGAATGTTGCCGATACCCAAGCTGCCAGGCGCTTACACACCCCGTGGTGCTGGAGTGGTGTGCAGAAGCATTGCGGTAAAACGAACCTGGGTTTCGGTTAATCGATGTGTGCATGTTGAACTGCATGGTCGAGGTGATTGGGGTTAGATCGCGTAAATATATAAATGTGTCGTTAAACCCTGCCACCACCCGACACGGCCAATTGGTAATGTTTGTCAAGTAAACAAAACATGCCGATTCGTTACTGGTATAGCACACCGGTGTGTTGGAGAGTAAAACCCACAACATTTACAATTCGAGTACAGTGTTTTGCCAGTAATTACAACCAGCATCATCAGGCGACAGACCAGAGTTGTGAAGAAATCCTCCTCCCGTTTCCTTCGCACTTTACATAGCCAGCCGTGCTACGGGAAGGACAACAAACCAAGCATCAACCCCTCGGGCATCATCGTCACCATTATCAGAATCCAAGCGGGGTGGAGCCTGGGTAGTGCTTTGGATGGGTGACCACCCCACGCAAAACAAAATCCAAATGAAGAAGGCATTGCGAACAGCAGAGCATGGTGGTGGTGTTGGAAAATTGTAATCAGACGTGGTTAAACCATTGGTGGATGAACGAGTGCCAAAACTGCTGCCATAATCTTTCTTGATATTCAGCTTTTTGAACTCCAGTTATTAAATGGTTATGTTGCCATCTTCGTCGTCATTTTGAGCCATGGTTACTCCGCTGCTGGATGAAGAACTCTCCAAGCACGCTGCCATCTCTCGTTGTCCTGCCACGCAAAGGGTTTCGTTCACAAGGCACTAATTGTCTGGGTCTCTGAAATATAAACCGCGAATATGAACAGCACGTGACGTATGCTGCTCCATGTAATGATTCGCTCCCTCTACGATTATAATCATTGTCACGATTCGGGTGTTTAATTCACAAGAAGTGAATCCTCGATGAATTATTTTCCTGCCCATGCTGTGCACGTACACAGTGAAGCAGCATAAATCTATAGTCACATCGCCATTAGTCATCATCTACCCACTGCTGGATAAATGCCTCCCCAAGCCGCCGTCATCTCGCCAACAGCCAACAGTCTTGCCGATGCAACAGTTTGTATAGCACCTGGCACACGAACGGATTTCATCGATCCATCTCCCCGGTAGGGTCCATCATCATCATCCCTATAAAGGGGATGATGATCAATGATGGAGAATATTGATGGAGTGGCAGCCAAAAGGAGGGAGAACATGCCTGAGAGGTTATCCACCACCGTGTCGAAGTAGTGATGAGATAAGCTGACATGCAAGAGCCAGATGAATCGTTCCATCTGACGAACCTGTCCGTGATGGCAACGGCTTGGTAGGGCGGTGGGGTGAGGGGTCGGGTCGGGTGATGCCTTCACCAAAGCAATGGACAGACCGTGGCTAACTGATGAAGATGACCATCCAGCGCTGACGGCTTTGAGTGTCAACACTGTTTTCTCTGGCGGCTCGGGTGTGCGGGGGTGGTGGTGGGGTGTGTGCGGGATGGTGTGCGCGGTGGTGGTGGTGGTGTGTACACCTCTGGCGCAGGCATCACGGGCATCTTGATGTGCGCGGCCGGCCTGCCGGTGTTCCTTACGCGTGCGCCCAAGCCCGTGCTGCACCCGCCCTCGGTCAGCAAGGGGGAGCTGCGCGCCGTGCCCGGCGTGTCGGGCTCCTGCCGCAAGATCAAGAAGAAGCACGCGCGCAAGGGTGAGCGCCACGCGCACGCACGCACGCGCGCGAGCACGAGCGCCACGCGCGCGAGCACAAGCGCCACGCGCGCGAGCAAGCGCGCCACGCACGCGCGCGCGAGCACGAGCGCCACAAGCTGCGCGTAAAAACTGGCGGTGGTGTCACGGCAGCCGCCTAAGGGGCCGTCCATAAATGACGTCACGCACCTAGGGGGGGGGGGTGGGGTCAGACATTTGTGGCGATGTATGACGAGGGGGGGGGGGGGTTCGTTTGAGAAATGTGACGTCACATCAAAATGCGCTACTTTAAATAAATATAGACGACACGTTCTACTTAATTAAATAGGCTTTTTAATAAATGTTTTCTTCTACAACATCAGAGTGTAGCGCCACATTAAATACGCACTACAATGGCAATTGTTTAAAGCACATTATTCAATATATGTGGAGCATTAGGGGGGAGCAGTAGCACAGTGGATGACACAATATTGCATGTTGAACAGAGCAACTAGAGTTTGAAAACTGACCACGACTAACATGAAACACAATTTACGTCCGAACCGATCCTCTGCCCTATTCCCCAAGACTCACTGACCATTGTGGGTAAGTATGGTTGACAAGGCATGGGGAAGGCCTTCACTCAGCAATGGATTGGCAAAGGGCTGTCGAGTATTAGATGACCGAGTGCGAACACTGATTTTAACCGATGCGTTGTGCCAACCCATAATGTGTGTTTGCGTGCGGTAGTGGCCCCGATTTCAATTCCCGCTCACAGCCAACATCGGTGGCAAGTATCAGGTTGACTCAGCCTTAAATGAGAGTCCCTGTTACGGTGCGTAATCCACACGGGGGAGACGAAGGCGGCCATGGCGTTGGCCACCCACCCTCTGTTATCCCGTGCCAGCCTTACTAGGTGCTCGCGAACAGCACTCGCCCCACAAGGCGGCTAAAGGGTACACGGGTGTTCTTTATCTTTGCACGCGAGTGGCGCCTGAGTGTGTTTACATTCGCTAGGGCGTGCTCACGATTTGTCCGTCATGGTGTGTACATTAGTGGGTGTATGCTGCTGCACAGGAACGGTGAAAACAATAAACTTTCACTGAACTTTTGTCCCTTTTCGCAAGCGCAAGTGAGATGTCGCCCCGCAAGCCTTAGGCCACTCTGTTACAATAGAATAAAATGTGGGTTTTATATAACGTGCACAATGCAACCACGCCACAAGACGCCCGAATGGAAACGGTGGTCACCGTTATTTTTTATAGAGGCAGCCGGTCGCAGGCAGAGAGGGGGGGCAGGAAATAATAAAGATCTTCTTCTTGGTTCTTTCGGTAAAGTCACGTAGAAGGGAAGTAATAAAATAATAAAAATAAAACATAATAAAATAATTCTCCCGACGTTTCGGCCACAACGCAAGCAGCCGTCCTCAGGTGAAGAACAGGTCTGTCTTCTCGAATAGGTCTTTCCGACAGACCTGTTCTTCACCTGAGGACGGATGCTTGCGTTGTGGCCGAAACGTCGTGAGAATTATTTGATTATGTTTTATTTTTATTATTTTATTATTTCCATTCTACGTGACTTTACCGAAAGAACCAAGAAGATGAATCCCTGCAGTCACGAAAGCTTTAAATCGAAATCGTCAAGATTTTGTTGATCTATCATTTTCGCCCGTCTCCTTGGCAAACTTTCGTTCTCTCCACTGGCCTAACTGGGAACTCTCTGACTCTCTCTCTCTCTCTGTGTGTGTGTGCACGCCATGCTTTCTCAAACAAGTCGGCGACCGTGGCCCTCCACTTACCTCTTGTCCACGTATCGTTTGCGTGTCATTTGCATCGATCGAAACATCAATTCTCACGCACGTAATTCAACGCCGCGTGCCTTGAGCCTTTTTTAAAATGATTGAATCGACGAATGGATGCGTCGTTTTTATCCCCCCCTCCCGCCCCCCGCGGCGATGAGTTTTAAAAATTGGCACGTCGCATTTCGCCGATGGCGACGCGCCGAAGCGAGTGCCACGGCGTTTGCTTGCCGATGTTGGATTGAGGGTTGAATTCTTGTTTTTTTGGGCCTCACCCTCAGACACGGAGGCTATTAGGCGAGCACTTGCGTGTGCCTGCCACCTTTGGTCTCCGCAAAGATCCCACGTGGTAGCAGCGTCCTGTGAAGGCGATCTTCGCTACACGTTGGCGCGAGACCGGCGTTTGCCAACGCTAATTGACGGCGCTCAATTAGCGTCGGGCCAACGGTTGCGACCAACGGTTCCATCCACGTGTCCGGACGTTGGCATCTTTACTGGGATGGTACAAAAGTAAATACTACGATTTGAATAATGAGTACAGCTGCACCTTCACATCCATACCATAGATATTTGTGGCGTTGGGTGCGTGAAGCACGCGTGGCCTCACACCGTCACTGCTACGCTACCACTTGATGTGAGAACGATTGGGTTGTACGCATGACGCAATGCATCTGCTGTAAGTAAAATTATATTATCATTTTCAATTATTTCCGAAGGCAAAATGACATTCCGTCACGAGTGAAAAGGTAGTGACTGCATCAACGATGCATGGAATGTCTGTGCTGTGTGAATTGGTGTGTATTGTGTTCTGTGTGTATGGGGAGCGATAATGTTGCTTTTATTTTTCGATTTAAAGCTTTCGTGACTGCAGGAATGCATCTTCTTGGTTCTTTCGGTAAAGTCACGTAGAAGGGAAGTAATAAAATAATAAAAATAAAACATAATAAAATAATTCTCACGACGTTTCGGCCACTGAATTTCAGACGCTGTCTTTCCGACAGCCCTGTTCTTCACCTGAGAACGGCTGCTTGCGTTGTGGCCGAAACGTCGTGAGAATTGTATTTTATTATATTTTATTTTTATTATTTGATTGTTTCCCTTCTACGTGACTTTACCGAAAGAACCAAGAAGATGATGTTGCTGTTTGCGGTTAAGACACTGCACTATGAACTTAGCAACCAGAATTAAATTCCCAGGCATGGATAATTTTTTTAAATCAAGTGGCAAGTAGTAACTCCAGCCGTTTTGGCTCTCCTGTGGGCCAAATCAGTCTTAAATGAATGCGTCAAGTTGTACGTAAAACATCGGCGCAGAGGAGACAAAGACGGATGCACGTGGCGCCGGCGTTTACAGCTCTTGCGCCAACATTTCGTGGAACAATCTACGAGGCTATGCTGTCTTTGTGGGTGTGTACGAGCCATCGGGAGTATCGCCACACTGTGGTTCATGTTGTCGCGTAGGAGGTCGGAGCCCAGAAGAGGTCGTGAAGAAATACCTGCAGAAGTTGAAGAACCCTCCGGATGAGGTGACTGTGAGACACACGAAACATATTTCTCTTTTCCACCGTGTCACCGGGGGGCCGTTCCGGGACTGCGTTGAGCCAGCCTGGAACGGTTGCGGTAAGGCCAGGTTGTTTTTCCACCGCAGAAGCCGAGCTGTGCCGCTGACGTCACCAAAATCGAGATGCGTTAAGATATAGATGGCGCGGTGACGCTGTGCCCTCACGGCTTTTCTGACTGGCCATCACGTGCAGTGAATGTATAAATTAGCCCCGCCCCTGGCCCTGCTTGGCACCAATCCGGATTCAGATGTCGACGGTATCGCAGCTTGGGTCCAACTCAGCAAGGCAAACGGTAGCAGAAGGTCGCCGATACCGTGAGAGCTGCCTACCGGCACGGCTCAGATGTGCCAGTGGAAAAACAGAAAAAACTTGCGCCAGTTCATGAAAGCCAAACTTGACGGTCGCCATTCGCAGCACCGGCGCTCCGCGTCGTGGTGTCGCCGAAGACGTGCGACGGTGACCTCTGACCCCCCCCCCACTCCGAAACACTCCCACTCTTGTTAACCCCGCGCGTCCCAGGACTGCACCATCTGCATGGAGCGGCTGAACGTGCCGTCGGGCTACGACGGGATGTGCAGCCACGGCAGCGTCAAGTCGGAGGTGGTGGGCCGCTTGGGGAAGTGCGGCCACGCGTTTCACGCGCTCTGCATGCTCGCCATGTACGCCAATGGCAACAAGGTGAGGAGTGCGGAGAGTGTACCCACCGTCGCCGCGGCCACTAACAAAGGCGCGTAAATCATCACGCGAGCTCCAGTCATCCTCGCTAGCGGTGGCTCTTGGATGGCCATCGAACAAAGACGCTCACCGCATCGCGTGCTTTTCAGATGCGCTTCTGCGGCTGTCTGGAACGCTCTTCCTTACGATATTGGGAAGCCACTGGAGCTATGCACTTTTAAATAATCTACATTTAAAACGCATTTCTTTAGAACTGCTTTTTGTGTTTAAGTTGTTCTTCGCCCACACCCCCGATGAGCACGTTTGGCTGCGTATAGTGCGAAAGAAGTTCAACATTCATACCTACATTACCCACCGCCACCACTGGGCTCTCTGAAATTGGAAAACTATAAAAACTAAACTATTTTAATTTTATTATGTAAGGCCCACGTGTGTAGCAAACGCCACCAAGCTGGATTGTTGAAGAAATTGCCACTTTTGAATGTTTACCATTTTTTTTTTCAGAGACATACTCGTTCATGACGGCGATGGGCAAAGTGTATTATGGCAAATCGCCTGATGAAGCTGGTTGTAATCACCAGCGAAACGTCGTACTCAATTGTAAATGCCGTCAGTTTACTCGCCATCAAACGGATGTGCTGAAGCAATAGCCAATTGGCACGTTTTGTTCACGTGTCGGGTAGTGGTGGTGGTGGTGGTTTAACAACACGTGTATATTTTCCCGCGATCTAACCCAAAAACCTTCGTCATGAATAATACTGACTTATAACTTTCGTGACTGCAGGAATTCATATTCTTGGTTCTTTCGGTAAAGTCACGTAGATAGAAAAGAAAAAGGATAAAATTAAATAAAAGTGACAAATTTTTAATAAAAAACAAATTGAAAATAATAAAAGCAAAAACCCCACGACGTTTCGATCGCAACACAAGCGGTCTTCTATCCACGTGACTTTACCGAAGGAACCAAGGATATGAGCAATATTGTCACGCGAAAGCCCTACGCGTTTAAATTGTATCCCCCCCACATCCCCTGCGGTTTGTGCACAGGACGGCAGCCTGCAGTGCCCGACGTGCAAGACGATCTACGGCGAGAAGACGGGCACGCAGCCGCCGGGCAAGATGGAGTACCACGTCATCCCGTACTCGCTGCCCGGATACTCTGACTGCAAGACGATCCGCATCATCTACGACATCCCACCCGGCATGCAGGTTCGTGAGCAGCGCGGCGCGTGTCAACGCTGCCTCCCACGCGTCCCCGGTTAGCAGCTGACCGGAGCGCACTCGTCGTCAGCGTCGTTAGCCGCGATCTGTCAACTGCCGGATGGTTTTCCCCAAAGCCATTGCCATCTCTGACGATCTCACAATGCAAACGATCCATCTCGCTTCTGAAACGCGAGGTGAATTCGTCACTCCCACCTCCACGGTGGTGGATTTTCTTCTTTGGGAATATTCCCCCCCCCCTGCCCCCTGGCTGCCATTCCGTTTGTGAGTCTCGACCACCCGCCACAATCCTTGACGATGTGTCCTCTGCCCAATCCCAGGACTGAGCCATGCTTGGTTCCTCCCGCAAGTCAAATCGCACTTAATGAGCACCCAATCCAGAAAGTAAACATCGGCAGTGTGGATACGATGGTGGCCAGGCATGTGGCGCTGCCCACACCACTTCCCCTTGCGCTCTTGCAACTTTAATAGGCGCTCGCTAACAGAACTTTACCCCAACAGTTTGTTAAAGGCTTTGTGCGTGTGTGCGTGCTTGTACGCGTGCGAGCCTTAAACGCTTCACGTGGCCTCGCAGCGCATCTAACCTGGCACAATTGCTGTGGCGACACCACCGCCACTTAAGTGGCGAACGTCACCCGTGGTGGTTGTCGTCGCTGCATATGCGCATTCGCGCGAAGAGCGTTTGTCGTTGTGCGAGGCGGGCGGTGTGAGTGCTGATCGCGCGAGCGATCCTGTTCACACGCAGGGCCCCGAGCACCCCAACCCCGGGAAGAAGTTCACGGCTCGCGGGTTCCCTCGCCACTGCTACCTGCCCGACAACGAGACGGGCCGCAAGGTGAGGAGTCGTCTTCTCTCCCTCCCTCCCTCCCTCCCTCTCTCCCTCGGCTCCTCGTGACTGCATTTAACGAGACCCTAAATTTCAAGGTGAACGACGGCCGCTTTGCCGTTGTTGGTTTTGCTGCGCGACTTCGCGTAACGTCGTTACCCTGTGATTGTGTATCTACGCTCGTTTAATATTTAAAGGGGTGTGATTTTGGTGGGGTTGTTTTAGTCTTTTTTGAGGTGGTTATCCGGCTCGGCGAATCGGAACGCTGTCAGTTTAACACGCAGGCTTTCGCGACCGATATGATCCATAATAAAGGAGGTTTTTTTGGGGGGTTAAATCACGTAAATATAAATGTGTCCTTAAACCCGCCAAAACCCGACACAGCCGATTAGTAAGGTTTGTCACGTAATCAAACCGTGCCAATTCGTTACCACGACAGCACTCGAGTACGACGTTTCGCCAGTGATTACAACCAGCATCATCACAACTCTGGCTGTCGCCTGATGATGCCAGTTGTAATTGCCGGCGAAACGTTACCGTAAATGTTGTGCTGAACTAGTAACAAATTGGCATGTTTTGTTTAAGTGACAAACCTCACTCGTCGGCTGGGTCGGGTGGTGGCAGTTGTCACGGCACATTTATATTAACGCGATCTAACCCAAAAACCTCTATTATAGAACACTTTACCAGGACCGTAAACTTTGGTTTGAGTCTGAGTTCCGGCTGCCCTTGGTTAAACTGGGTTTTTCCGAGTGTAGTGAGTTGACGGGTCTCAGCGGCCACCAATTGACTGCATTAAATAAAATCGGCCGTGTTAAATTGCGTGCGATGTTTTTTTTTTGTTCAATCAATTTGCCAAAATCCCCAACTCTGAATAAATTAAAAGAAAATCCAGTTTGACTGCCAAGCGATGAAGCGCCATGCCAGGAAGTTCGTTGCACCCCCCCTCCCTCCCCAGAGGTCGCAAACGGGTTTTGATTCCTTACCCGTACCCGTTTGCACCAGGGTCGCAAACGGGTACGGGTACCCGTACCCGGCCGGGTACGGGCACCCGTACGCTACCCGTACCCATACCCTACCCGAAATGAGTGACAAACGGTTACTCACCAGTGACTCACGGCCTACCCGTACCCGTACCCGGCCGCACCAGGGTCGCAAACGGGTACCCGTACCCGTACCCGGCCGGGTACGGGTAGCCGGGTATCGGGTAGGGTACGGGTATCGGGTACCCGGTTGCGACCTCTGCCCCCCCCCCCCCTCTTTAGTGTGTGGCGGATAAGGGTTTCAACTGAAGGGATCTCAGGAAGAGGTTCGTAATATCTCATTCCATGGACCGTTTTCTCACGGGGCGATTTGCTGCTCTGCAATAGCGATGAGTGGCGCAGCACTTTGGTCCCTCGCGAGGTGACAACGTTCGAAATAAAAGAAGAAAATAAACATTGGGTAGAAGAGACGAAACGATCAATACTTATCTTTTCAAAAGTAAGTGTTTTTACTTGTTTGAGCGATGTAATGGAGCCTTGTAAATGACTCGTTTTACTTCAGCAGGATGCTGCGTGGCGCTTTATTCCTAAAGTGGATTTTATTTTCCCCTGCAGAGAGATATCGCTGTGTCTCAGCGGGCTCCTTAATGTGTACAGCCTACAGCCAGATCTGCTGCACAAAATAACAGCCAATAACATTTAGACGCGTAATGTAAACCCACAGCGTGTTTGACGAGGGCCTCCCTGTGACACGTGAGCCGTGGGTGGTTGTTACCATACTTCATTTTTATTTTACCAGGTCAGGCCCACTGAGCTAGCTTAACAACGTGGCTTGTCACATGGAGATGTACAGCGCGGACAAATGCTCGTAAACGCGTGACGTTCATTATACAGTGTGGAGGAAGGAGCCGGAGAAAAATCCACGCGAACACGGGGAGAGAGACACCGCAAACTCCAAATATACAGCAGCAGGCGTCAGGGTCGGGATCGAACCCGTGACCTCCTGTACACCAGGCGAGGTAGTTAACATCTCCTGGCCACCGTGGCGTTCCACGTTGGTCATTGTGGCCTGGCAATCGCAGACGCGGGCATCGTAGAAGTACATTACAGCAGCGTTCGTCTCATACCGCCCACCAAGTAGTTCCCTCCGCTATTTGGCACCCCACTCCCTCGGGTTCATGCGACACAGCTGTCGGTGGGTTGTATCCCCTCTTGTTGCCTGACCTCAAGCTTCGACGTTTCGCTGCATGCTCCGAGAGACCTCATCGGGAACTCTAATAAGGGAACTTAATCGAAAAAAATCTCTATGCACCTGGAGCGGAAACGTCGGCCATCGTGCCGCGCGGATGTCTGAACCGCATCGGAGAGCTCCGTGCCACGGTGGTTTTTGCGGATGACGACGACGGCGGCGGTCGCCCATGACGAGCGACCCCCGCTCGGCTTCCGAGGTCCGACGAGACCGGAGCGCGTCGTTCCCTGAAGCGGTGCCGTTCGCCAGACGTCGCAACCGGGTACCCGATACCCGTACCCTACCCGATACCCGGCTACCCGTACCCAGCCGGGTACGGGTACCCGTTTGCGACCCTGGTGCGGCCGGGTACGGGTACGGGTAGGCCGTGAGTCACTGGTGAGTCACCGTTTGTCACTCATTTCGGGTAGGGTATGGGTACGGGTAGGGAACGGGAACCCGTACCTGGCCGGGTACGGGTACGGGTACCCATTTGCGACCCTGATGCGGCCGGGTACGGGTACGGGTAAGGAATCAAAACCCGTTTGCGACATCTGCCGCTCGCCAGCGGCGGCGTTGCGCGTCGACGGCGCCTCCGCTAACAGCGCGTCGCGGGGCGGTGCGTCCACCCCCCCCACCCCACTGCCCCCCCCCCCCCTCGGCAGGTGCTGAGGCTGCTGATCGTGGCGTGGGAGCGGCGGCTCATCTTCACGGTGGGCACGTCGAGCACCACGGGCGAGTCGGACACCGTCGTGTGGAACGAGATCCACCACAAGACGGAGTTCGGCTCCAACGTGACGGGCCACGGATTCCCCGACCCCAACTACCTGGAGAACGTCCAGGCCGAGTTGGCCGCGCAGGGCGTCACCGAGGCCAGCCTGGTGGACTGAGCCCGCCGGGGCCCGTTATGCGGCCTGAACCCACTGGGCCCACCGAGCCAGCGAAAGTGGGGGGGGTGGTCGGAGCGCGGAGGTCCGGTTGGTGACGAGGGGAGGTTGGGGTTGGGGGTGCGTCGCAACTCGTGCGCTCGGGATGCCGGATGGCTCCTGTGGAACCGAAGGGTGCGGGCGGTGCGGGGGGGTGGCGGGGAGACGATGCTCTTCCGTGCACGAGCCTCTGCTCGAGCGCCTGTCGCGCGCCTCTTTTGTGCGCGCAGAGGATTGTCGCCCGCTGAGAATCCGCCCGCCAAAGCATTGCACGCGCGGTGGAGGAGGAGGAGGAGGAGAGCGAGCAAGCGTGATGGTTTCTCGCGAAGGAGGCCCGCGTGTGCGGTCGTGGCGCTGCGGGGCCGCCCGCATTGCGATGCGACATCTGGGACGCTGTGCTCGCAGAAGCTGAAGTTTTTAAGATTACGATGTGCCATACTATCAAAGTGAATAATCGCCTGGGTCGGCTAAGGTCTCAACATGCGCGTGTCCAGATACCTGATTTTAGCGTGTCAATTTTTTTCCCGTCTTGAGTTTGGCTTTCGTCATCGCGAGGTGACTGTTTCTTTTTATCCCAGCTATATCTACAACATTATTGTAGCACAACGACAACAACAACTTACATCTGCACTGCGCCCATATCGTAACAAACGTCTCCGTGCGCGTTACACTACACTGCAAGATTACACCAATTACGATCACGCTATGGTGGTGGTCAATAAAATTTTTTTTAAATGGTACTTTATCCAGCGGTAGAGCTCACGAAAGATAATTTTCCAGAGGGTGGGGAGGGATGGAGGGGACATGGCAGTGAACGTGAAATGTTTTGATGAGACCCCTCCTCCATCGACAAGCGTGAACACCGCGTGACTTCTTCACCTCCGATTGGCACGGCGCGAAAGGAAGACGTCCCACCACGCAACTGGGTAACACGTCGTGCAAGAAACACGCGGACGAGCAGCCGGTGCCCCGTAGCACCTGTGCATCTGCCCTCATCATTCGTCGTGATCTATCCACTGCTGGACGAAGGCTGCCCCCCCCCCCCCTCCCACACACACACATACAAACCTCGCGATGTAGAAAATCAACCGAGCGTCTGTGCATCAGCAGCGCAGGGGTTGTTTTGCACTCGTTTTGAAGAAGATGAAAAAGCAAAAAAAAACATTCCGCATTCAGTTTTCCTTTTCTTTCCTTTGCTGTCACGTGACAATGTGTCGCGTAATTTAAAAAGAAAACGACAAAAAACTTTTGGTGAAGGATAGAAATTCTGAGTTGGCAGAAGCTCTTAAAAATGAGACTTTTCTAAACGAGAAAAACTTAACGGAAAGATGATACTCGTACAGTATACCGAAGCCTAACCCCTGTATATATTTTTGTTCTATGCTCTGTAATATACCTTTAAGAAATGTGACAATTTACACTTGTTAATCGGTATTATTTTGATGTAGGTGCCAACAACTGTACAAGAGAGAGGGTCTGTACAGTTTCCCCACGAGGTTGTCCGTGATGCATCGTAAGCAAGTGTCCGCCTCGTAGCCGGAACGTACCAGTCAAGACGGATACATTCAGGAATTGGTAAATGGTGGGAATACTGCAGAACACTTGACTCTCACTGGGCGGTCCGATTTAACACATGCTTGTCTACGTACGGTGCGAAAGAAGTTCAGCATACATCATACAAACGTACCATGCCCAAAGATGTTGCCCGATTTATTCATGGCGAATCCATTGGGCCCCCCCCCCTGTCCTTCCCATTCCACTGTTTCACTCCAGCATTTAGCATCCACATACTAGTGCCAAAGCGTAAATGAATAAACTAGTTTTCAATTATCGAACGTTCTTTAAAAAAACACACGAAGAAACATATATATGGCTCACGGGAAGCGGAGAGCATTTGAAATCGCTGCGACGTAAAATTTAAGAGTTTGAGGGCGGTGGGGGGGGGGGTGGAGACAGAAACATTTCTTTTGAAGATAATTCAAATTGCAGCTGACGTTTATTGAAATGCCCGTTCACCTACGTCCACGTGGAGTTTCACTTCGATTCTTCCGAGAACGTCTAGTCTAGTGTCCACGCCGCTCCCTGACAAGTTAGCAGCTATATTATATTTCTTTGCAATTTACCTTTTGTTTTGTATTTCAGGGATTGTTAACGTGCCAAGCGTCATTTACTCAGATATCATTGAAGCCATCGATCGCTACGCAGCATGATGAGTTTTGAGTGAAGCATCACGAGTCTTGATGCATTAGTGTTAGCCATTCGCTGCCGCGCGTACGATGCGACGCACCGTGACACGCGTGTGCGAGCCGTGGCGATGATCAGTGCTGCCGGCGAAACCCCCCTGCACATTAACCCGTGGGCCCCCACAGTGCCGAGGCGAAGACATCGGGTCCCACCCCCCCCCCCCCACGGGCTGTTTGATGTGCACTACAGCAGCGGTGCCAGAGCTTGGGGGGAGGGGGCTTCGTAGTTGATGAACGTACGGCAAGTAGCGCGCCCCAAATCACGTCGATAGTGGGATTCAGCGGGAGGTCCTGTGGCCGTTGCAAAAAAAATGAAATCACTTGTGACAGCCTGTCAAAATTTAACTCGCACTGAGTAATATCACTTAATTATACATTGCAGCAAGACTTACTTTGATGGACCAGTGCACTGCCCTCGCCTTACTGACAAGGACAAACATCCTATAGCGCTGTGGTTTCTTCCATCGATGAAAACAAATTTCTGGGCAGTTTTAGTTTGTTTGTATTATTTCATCAACCCACGCCTCCTGGAGTCGCACGTCCACGCGTTGCTCGCTCGCTCGCTTCTGGTCATGATCCAGCGTGTGAAAGACAATTGAGAAAAGGATATCCTTAGGACGAAATCGAGGCTTCCAAAGTCCGGGACGCGTTCGCTCGTTCTCTTCCCCGGGCAACCATGCCGCAGGCGTGTTAGCTCTCCCGCGCGAGATGGACGCCCCGATGCTGGTGGGCATGTTGGGTGTTGTGAGACACAGGAAAGCAATTTTAATGCCATAATTACATCAGTCGAATGCATTGAGAGCATTTCCAAGAGGCAGGATGATTTTTTTTTCTTATAAAAATCCAATTTTTATGCAGCAGATTGCATTTATTTTTTTTGCCCCTCTCGCAATGGCAGTGACGTCCGGATTTATTTCGGTTCAGTCGGCGTGTGTGCGATTTTGCTTTGCGCGCGAATGTTAAATGTGCGCAGAAATCGGTGGCGATGGGGCTAGTGAGAAATGGCAGGCAAAATTTACGGTGTTTTTTTTTTGGATGAGACCAAAAGGGGTATGAACTCCCATTGAATTTCGCTTCTGATCAAGCAAGTCCGGTGTCGTTATTTTTTACTTGGATGAAGCTTCCTGTTTCGATCGCCATCCTGCGTGTTTCCAGAGAGAATCTGCACGGCAATTTTATGGAAGTTGTGGATTCCGGCATGCGGCGTTGCTTCTGGTGGTGGTGGCGGCGGCGGCGGTGATGGTTGTGATGCTCGCGACCGGTCGGGGAAACGGTGGTACTGCGACCAACGCAGCGTGCTGTCTACCCGGCGAGCTGTGTTCGATTCCAACCCGCGGTGACATCATTGGTGAACGATATCAGGACCAATCCTGGCCACCCCCCCCCCCCCCCCCCCCCCCACTTCAGGTGCAGTGCAAAAAACGTGAGCATCGGGGGAGACATCCTGCGGCGCGTAATGCTGGACACAGCCACCCCGCTGTGTACTGCTCTGGCCTTAATAGATGCTCGCCAACGGCACCTGCCCCCAACAACCGCACCTCCGATGGCACGGTTGGCTATGTACGGTGAAAAAGAAGTTCAACATGCATGCTTACAACCCGCAGAGATCCTGCACGTTGGCTCCATCGATGGCAGTGAGCGCAGCACTGTTATTACAAAACATGTCCACGTGGTGGCAGTGCTCACTAAGGGTTGAGGCTGGTTGTCAATAGTCAAGAGGTCACTGACCTTTATTCCAATTGAACACATTCTTCGATAAAACTGTGGCCCCAAAAGGAGAACATATATAATAGGCGACGTTTCGGCCAGTGGTCCCTTTTTGGTTGCCCAAAAAAAGTCGACCGTGAAATATCCTGTGAAGGCCACAGTGTTATTGACGAATATGTTCAATGGCAAAAAAGGTTACCGACCAATGTGCCTGTGCTCCGGTGTGTGTCAAATCGACCCGTGGCACCTGGGTCTGCCCCGTGACCTCCTGCCAGCGGGCGTTCGACACTTCACGTGGCCTCAAGGTGCACTTGGCCTGGCACAAGCGTCGTGGTGACGTCACCGCCACTTAGTGGCGAATGGCGGTTGTTGTTGTTGTTGTCCATCGCTGGTCACTCGGGCAAAGGCCAGTGCTGAGACGAGCCTCGTCAGAGTAGACTCCCCAAATGCGATGTCGATGGCGCAGTTGGCTTTGGGAAGCAAAAGCTCCCTGACGTTATCCATGCCATGTTTTGGCCGCATTCGGCGGGGGCTCTGGAATCAAGTCAACGTGACAGCGCCGGGCGTGCAGCAGATGCAGCCGTTGCAGGTGAATACAAGATGAAAGGTTCACCGTTTTTGTTGCGTGTTAAACTCGTTAAATCTGTTGCACGCTCTGTCTACCAGTGTGCGATTATTATATTTTTTATTAAAAACCTGCTGGTGGTCGCTCGCCACCCCACCTGTTCTCCACCACACTGCTACACTTGCAACCCATGCCACTCTCTGCCACATGCCACTCTCAGCCATGGCACCCTTGCCATGCTCAGCCCTGCCACTATCAGCCCTGCCACTCTCATCCCTGCCACTCTCATCCATGCCACGCTTAGCCATGCCATTCACCCATTGCGCTCTCACCCATGGCTCTCTCAGTCCGGCCGCTCACCCCTGCTTCTCTCACCTGTGCGTCTCAGTGTTCCTTAAACAATTCCGGCGAGTAGGCTTTGGGGAAAATACCGTTCAATAAAAGTAACGTGAAATAAAGTACAATGGATCTTTTTTTTGTTTATTCGCCAAGTGTGTCTTTGGCCCAAATTATTTCAGTTATTCTAAAATACATATTTGATATTGGCTTGTTTAACTTTGTTTAACTATTGTTTTATGTGAATAAAAAAAAACAGGATGCAAATGTCAGCTGTTGAAAAAAAGGAGGTGAGTATTTTGGATGGGTGATGCTTTTGGCAAACGGTTGTTTTTCGGCCAACGCTTCCCTTATCTGGCATAAAAAAAAATAAGCAGCACGAGTTGCTGTTTTTTTTTGGACGAACACACCACAAGAAATAACACACGCAACTGCTGGGCTTAATTTCTCACTCGATGCTTTCTGACCCAACACTGCCCGGCTGCCTTCGAGCAGGGATGAACGGCGTAAGACACACGACCGCTAGAGCACAAGGTACGCCTTCTCCATAATGATCCCACACGATTGTACCACGCGTTTCGATGCCCATCCGAAGAGATGTCTACAATATTGAGGGACGGATGCGATTCGCCAACAAGACTTTCCCCAACAGCGTGCCGGACTGTTCTTCAGGCTGATATTGTGCGCGATCGCACAAGAGATGCGGTGCAAAGACTTGTTTTGGAGGAACGGCGGCAGCGTTTTTTTGTCCAAGTGCGAGGGGGAGATCATTTTCGCGTTGAACTGTTGTCACGATGAAGCTTCGGAAGACGAACCCTGAACATAAAACTCACGCAAAAAGGTGAGCACTGTAGGGGGTGCTGGGCTCATTGGAGATGGAGGGAGGAGGGTGGGGTTTGCTAAAGTTATCCCACCCTTCTTTAGATGCAATAACTCAAAAAAATATGGGCAAGAGATGGAGATGGAGGGAGATGAGCTGAGCGGGATGTAAATGAGACGGACGCGTGTGAATGTGTTCATTCTGATACTTCACCCGTATCAATAATCCGGCGACCTTCAGCTGCTCGGGGAGGGGGGGGCTCCTAAGCTCTTGCTTGGTTTGCTCCATGCTTTTAGTGGCAGAACAACGCCAGCCACGTGGCAAACCCCAGCCAACAACGGCCCCACACGTAAACAGGCGACGTCTCCGCTTCACAAGTCACCACCAAAACAAGCAAACAAAAGTGTAGGCCCGTTTGACCGTTTGCACACCCCCAAGCCAATTTGTTTTCAGCTAAACATTTTCCAGCAGCGCTTACTCGGGCATCGTCGCTGCCGCGGTGCGTGAATGGTTATCAAGCCAGCCTGGCAGCGCGGAGGTTCATCGGTTCGATGACGATGCCCTGGTGCTGCGGGTGAAATAGCGGTGTAAAGGATGCCTAAATCCCACCACCACCACCACCGCCTCTGTATATCCAGCAGTACAAACGGGTTACCCACAGACGTTCATCAATCGACAAGTCGCGTGCGATTGGATACGGTGTGGTCAATTTCCCCGTCTCTTACAAATCGTCTGGACAGCGTTGACGAGGAGGCCAAATAGGCAAAAAAAATGTGCCCTCTAGATTCTCGCTTTGGTTATTTCGGTAAAGTCACCTGACTTTACCGAAAGAACCAAAGAGTTATTCCTGCAGTCACGAAAGCTTCGAATCTACTCCAGATTCTCACTTTGCGTATGGTTACCGCGCGGAGCAAAATGCCAATGTCGAGGTCTGCTCGCTACGAAAAGGGCTTCAATGTTGAGTTTAGTTGAGCTATTTGTCCGTTGAAAAAGCGCAGGCTACAGTGGTTTATTATGCCGTTCCATGGCCACAATCGTACTCATTGTCCTGCCTTTAATTGTACATCTTATGAAGGAGATGTGCCCATCGGCCTGTGAATGAACGCATGACCATCATTAACAAGCCCTCTAGATGAAGCCAAATACAGCTCCTAGTCGGAGGCCCTTCCACCCGCAGTGCTGTGAACAATTGCGGGACTGCTCCATTAATTGTTTTTAACATTTAATTTACTGGTTTTAACTTTTTGAGACCTTGTCAGCGTCGTATGGCCTGACAACCAGACGCGGATGGGCCGCCTGCTGCCGTAGATAGTGTTCGTGGGGCATGTTTTGACAGCGCTGTGTCAAACTATGCCGGGCCCAATCTCGGTTTGTTTATTTAGATTTTTTTTGTCTGAACGAGCGCCGCTTTGATGCGAAGGGACTCCAGAATGGAGCCGACAGGCGGAACGGCCCCACGGAGCGCGCCTACAAATGGGTTACCCTGGCACCCGTTGTGTGTGTGTAGGTGTTACATCTGTTGGTGTGTGTGTAGGTGTTGTGTGTGTGTAGGTGTTGTGTGTGTGTGGCACCCGTTGTTTATGTGTGTCATCTCGGTCAGTCGACCCGTGGCACCTGCTGGGTCTGCCCCGTGACCTCCTGCCAGCGGGCGTTCGACACTTCACGTGGCCTCAAGGTGCACTTGGCCTGGCACAAGCGTCGTGGTGACGTCACCGCCACTTAGTGGCGAATGGCGGTTGTTGTTGTTGTATGTGTGTAGGTGTAGGTGTTACATCTGTTGGTGTGTGTGTAGGTGTTGTATCTGTGTGTGTGTGTAGGTGTTGTGTGTGTGTGGCACCCGTTGTGTGTGTAGGTGTTAGATATGTGTGTGTGTGTAGGTGTTGTATATGTTGGTGTGTGTGTGTAGGTGTTGTATCTGTGTGTGTGTGTGTAGGTGTTGTATCTGTTGGTGTGTGTGTGTAGGTGTTGTATCTGTTGGTGTGTGTGTAGGTGTTAGATCTGTTGGTGTGTGTGTGTGTGTGTAGGTGTTGTATCTGTTAGTGTGTGTGTGTAGGTGTTGTATCTGTGTGTGTGTGTGTGTAGGTGTTGTATCTGTTAGTGTGTGTGTGTAGGTGTTGTATCTGTTGGGGTGTGTGTGTAGGTGTTGTATCTGTTGGTGTGTGTGTGTGTAGGTGTTGTATCTGTGTGTGTGTGTGTAGGTGTTGTATCTGGTGGTGTGTGTGTGTGTGTGTTGTATATGTTGGGGCGTGTGTGTGTAGGTATTGTATCTGTTGGTGTGTGTGTGTGGAGCGGTAGTGTTGTAGCGCTTGTCGCGCCGCGCTATGAACCCGGCGACACGAGTTCGATTCGCGCTCACGGCCAACACCAGTGACGATTAATTGAACCGGTCCTGGGCCTCCCCTAGGTCGACTCAGCCTCAAATGAGTAACCTGGTTCGATGTGTCAACATCGCGACTGGGGATAGACAAAGGACGCCGGGCGTGGTGTTGGCCACTGACCCCCTCGTGCGCTGTGCCGATCTTCATAGGTGTTCGCCAAGAGAACTTGCTCCAACATTGCGTTAAAGCCTCTACGGGGTATCTTTGTTTCGTCTGTGTATACGTGTGAGCGTGTGTGTGTGAGCATGCGTGACTTTGTGTGGAAGAGCGTGCGCGCGTGATGGGGGCAGTCTCGTTCGTAGTGGTTGGCACACTATACCCTACCAATCCCGCAGCCTGAGTTCGAATCCCAGCCACGGCCAACAACCAGTGGCGAATATCTGCGCCGGTGATGGGACCGTCCCTAGCTTGACTCAGCATGGAAGGAGCACCTGGTGCCGAGTGTGCAAACATCAGCATTGGAGAGACAAAGGCGGTCGGACGTTGTGCTGACCAATAGCATGCATCCCCTCCTCCTGCGGCGTTCCGGCCTTCGCAGGTAATTCGCAAACAGCACTCGCCCCAACAGCCTGCGCCGGCTACACGGGGGATCTCTTTTGTCTGCTTGTGTACACGATTGTTGTTGTGTGGTCATGCGGAGTTTCGCAGTCAAGTTGCAATTGTCAGAGGGAAGCCCTACGCAGCAGCCCTTGCATCATTTGTTCCACAATTGTCTTCATAACCACATAGGGTGCCGAATGCTGCCAATTAAAAAGCATTTCGAGCATTTTTTGTTTCTCATGATCACAACAATGCATCGGCGTAGCAAGGGGTCATCACGATGGCGCTTGTACAATGTACGCGTCACGTGAGGAAAGGGGGTTAATTAATGCAACGACAAGAGAATGTCATGTTGGGAAAGAAAGCAATCAGCGTGTGGATATCAAACGTCTTTGGAATACAAAAATACATCATAAGTGTGCGTGTGTGAGACGAACAGCGCATAAGTACGTACCTGCTGGATACTTCCCGTGATGCTGGGCACTGGTAGTATTTGCCACCCGAGGTGATAGCAACCACATTCCTTACCAACTTGGCTCATGGGCTTATTAAAGCGGTAAAGCTCTGCAGATTATATTAAAGCCAGTCTCAAAGTTGATGATGTCCTACACTTTTGTTCGCTTGCTCTCTCTCTCTCGCTCTTCACTTGACAGATCTATTTTCTGGCTCCGAATATTTTGTGATATTTGTTTGAAGCTTGGAATTAAATCAAAATGCTCTTCGGTCGGGACCGGTAGCCAAATTTTTCTGAGCCACTTCACACTTGGCGGTGTTTTTTGTGACATTTTTCATTACGGATTGTGATGTGTCGCTAGAAGCAGCTCCACTCACGCGCTGTGCAAGTGCTGATCCCCTTCTCTGCCAGCAACCAGCGCTATGCTACGTAGTGACCTAATTCCATGTTACTATACAAGCAACATAGGCACCTGGAATATTTTTACAGCGATATTTTTAGAAAGACTGAAATATTTGTTCCCAATTCGATACGATAATTGATACTGCGGGTTATGATTATTCAAAGCGATTTCATTTCTTACTCAGTGAAGTTATCGCGTAATGTGTTGTTATTAACATGGAAAATTATAGGGGGAATTAAACATGATACAAATTGTGGGGTTTGTTTGTGTTTTTTAACAAAGGGAAGTAAGATTTTCACATTTCAGCCAACTGGTCTTCGGGAAATAGTGGCGTTTACAGAGCGTTTTGAATCGTGTCGCAGGGTGGGATTTTGTGGGTTGGTGATGTAGGTAGGTAACACATTAAAATTAATAAAAGTAAAAAAAAATAAACATCACGACGTTTCGGAGGCAACACGGAAGCTTGTGTTGCCTCCGAAACGTCGTGATTTTTATTTTATTTTACTTTTAATAATTTTAATGTTTTTAATGTTTTACCTACGTGACTTTACCGAAAAAACCTAAGAATATGAATCCTTGCAGTCACGAAAGCTTCAAATCTAGAATTGGTGATGTCAGATGATTTGACTCATCTCACCGCGGCTCAGTGAATCGCCATCGTCTGAACATATTTTAACGCATTTTAGGATCGTCTGACCGAATGGTAATTGGGTTTCCCCAATCGTGTACAGAGCCGTTTTGGGGTAAGGGTGAACATTTGGCACAATGTGACTGTTACGATCCTACGTAACCCTGGGCAATGGACAACGCTGCACCTGACAGAAAAAAACAACGTCTGCTCTCAATACGTAGGTATGTTGAACTTCTTTCGCACCGTACGTAGCCAACCGTGATAATCGGAGGTACGGGGGGAAGAGCAACAGACAGAAACACAAAAAAGCAGTTCTACATTGTAATATAATTCACGTGTAAAATCAATTGTTCTTCTACTGGACGTAACGTTTCAGTTATAACTCTTCCTAGCTGGGATTTGAATGTAATGTTCTACTACAACAACAACAACAAAAACCCCATTACAAGCTGAACATGTTTGCGCACAGTTCATTGGTCAACTTGTAAACAAGTGACGGGTTGATGCAATGCCTGGATGAAGATGTTAAATATTAACCAAAATAAACGTGTGGTAGCGCTCGCTCCCTGACCAGACTTGTTTCGTGGTGTTGTGTTAATAAAAAAAAACGTGAGCAGCAGTGATGTATTGGCGAATACACCGCGCTACGATCCCAGTAAAATCAGTTACAGATGCAGGTCCATCATTGGCAAGTTGATATCTGAAACTGGTCACGGGATCCCGTTCACCAACGTGCACTGACCAGCGGGGTGAAGTATGGCCAAACGGCCCCTATGACACTATGAGACCTCTTTTATCAGTGGCAAAATATAGTAATAGGTTTTTACCCTTTCAACTGGTACAAAAACTTCAAGGACAGTGCATATCATTATCAGAGTTGTTTCTTTTTTTGCATTTTGACTGCTTGTGTTGTGGTTATTGCAAACATGATGCCTTGTATAAAGGTGTCAGTTTTTGTACCAGTTGAAGGGGTAAAAACCTATTACTATAACCCCTATGACAGATACAGCCTGGAGAGGTCTTCAAGATTATTTACAGCCCTTTGCCATTCCACCGCTGGACGATGGCCTCCTTGGGCAGTGTCAGTTGTGAGCATTGCTTGACCATACTTTGCCACATTGGAGGTGAAGCAGCCAGGCAGTGTGAGGACTGGTGGATCACAACATGCTGTGAAACTCGCTTCTCTTGGGTATCAAGGTGCCAAGAGCCTAACTTGCCAGCAGCCACGGCGGCGAGATACAGGAGGTCGCGAGTTCGATCCCGACCCTGACAGTGCATGTTGTATATTTGGAGTTTGCATGTTCTCCCCCGTGGTCACGTGGTTTCATTTTTTCTCCATATTTTCCCTACACATTTAGAAACGTACGTTTAGAGGATTTGGCTGCTATAAATTTCCACACGATAAGCCACGTCGTTGAGCTATCATTTGTGGCCAGGTCGCCTCTGAGAAATAGATATATAGCTCTGTGGGGCTTGTCTGGGTAAGCTATCATTTGTGACCAGGTCGCATCTGAAAAATAGCTACAAATCTCTGTGGGGCTTGCCTTGGTAAGCTATCATTTGTGGCCAGGTCGCATCTGAAAAATATCTAAAAATCTCTGTGGGGCTTGCCTGGGTAAGCTATCATTTGTGGCCAGGTCGCATCTGAAAAATAGATACAATTTTCTGTAGGGCTTGCCTTGGTAAGCTATCGTTTGTGGCCAGGTCGCATCTGAAAAATAGCTAAAAATCTCTGTGGGGCTTGCCTGGGTAAGCTATCATTTGTGGCCAGGTCGCATCTGAAAAATAGATAAAAATGTATGTAGGGCTTGCCTTAGTAAGCTATCATTTGTGGCCAAGTCGCATCTGAAAAATAGCTAAAAATCTCTGTGGGGTTTGCCTTGGTAAGCTATCATTTGTTGCCAGGTCGCCTCTGAAAAATAAACAAATGATCCTTATGGCGCACCCCGGGTTACCAAATAATGAAACATGGCCGAGGCAATTAAATATGTTATTTCTGGGACACTTTTTTTCCCGGGGTGTACTGAACTCCACGCCTGGGGTACCAATAAATCCGAAATCGGTGCTACTCCGCGATGTCGAAACGCTGCGAGGACGATTGCGCCGAAACCCTGAACGCTCTCGTACACAGCGTGGTGGTGCATCGTGTGCACAGCTCGTCGGGATGAGTCGATTGCCGCATCGCCGACCATCAACAGACTCAAAACGACTGCGTCACGGACATTATGCGAGAGCCGGGGTACTATGGTGCCCGGGGCACAGCCATCAGGTTCGTACAGCTCAATGGGCCTTACCTGTTGATAATTTAGAATGCAGTGCAGCACAAGCGGACCCCACTTGTTCCGTCTATGTGGAGTGGCGTTGCCATCCTCGCACGCGTGGGTTACATCTCTTTGCTCCCACGCGTAAACACTCATTTGTAGACAACCGTAGAGTTTGGCCAACTGGAGGCGCCGCCTCTCCAACTGGCTCGCTGCCTTCCCCGCTCGTCCGTGGCTCCTCGCGCCTCCGAATCACCCTCGCTCTTCGAGAGTCGAAATTGTAATTATCGTGGTGATCATCGCGGTCAGTGCAGGTCAATGAAAAAAAGGGGTGAAGGAGGCTTGGGGAGGTGACAGATGCCACGGCAAAATCACGCATCGCTCACCGCTCACGTTGTCCATGGCTGGGGAATCAAACGTCAGGGTTTGTTGGGCTCCCAGCGCAGTGCGCAAACCGCTGCACCACCGCCCCCCCCCCCCCCCCCCACAATTGAACTCAAAGGCCAAACGAGACGCACGCGGTAATTAATACACGCGAGCGACGCGCCTCTTGACTTTGCGTGCAAAAGTAAAAGGGGAGGGGGGGGTAGGAAAATGTGTGAACTCGCGCGGGTTGCTAGCTAGCTTTTGACGGATTAAGGCGGACGTTTTAATTAAGCGGAGCGGTTGCCGTGGTGGGGGGGAGGGGAGAGGGGGAGGAGGGCCCCCTTCGTCGCTGACACGTCTTTGACGAGATGGAAATAATAGTCGAGGCGCCAATTACTTACATTGAGAATAAATATAACAACAACAAAACCTCGCCTGCGAAATCACGCACGCTCGTGTGACGCTGGAGGTGGCCTGTCCGTGAACCTACGCCCAGTTTCAAGGCGTGCGGAAAAATAATAATGATAATAATAGGTTTTAGCTTTTCTGGTAATACAACGGTTGTGTTGAGATGTTCAAAGACCGAATAAAAACTTTTGGCAAGAAATCAAGGACTACATTAACCACACAAGGTACTTGCGGCGATCATGCAAACAGACACGGCTCTGATTATAACATTTGCATTGTCTTCTTTGCAACTGATTGGCCTACACCAGAGACAGCCTTCTTTAGGGCCTAGTCTCACCACCAGCGTCAGAGCAGAGGACAACGCCGAAAGGCGAACGGTACAAGGACAATGCACGATCAGAGCAATTTGGGCTCGGGGTAAGCAGCTGCAACATCTGACCGTTTTGCCAGTATCAAAGTATGACAAGATAAGGATAAGTTTTCTTGTGTTTTGTTTGAATGTTCACCACAAGTACTGTGCGCGATTAATGCAGTACGTGATTCCTTGCAAAAAGTTTCTATTTGGTGTTTGAAGATCCTAACACCTCCTGTTTGATTGCCAGAAAGGCTAACACCTATTTGTATTTTTTGTCATACTTTGATACCTAGCAAAAAAAGTTCCCATTCAGTTTCAAGGTGTGTGTGGTGATATTTTAGTTTTTTTTTCCATCGATGTCTTAAGCGATGCGCTCGGTGCAGCCGATGTTAAATGCAGAGGTGTCAATCGCAAGCACACACGTGTGACGAACTCGCCTCGATGTCACCTCGAATCGGAGCTCACGTATTTGTGGTGATTCTTTGATGGAAGGACGATGCTCTCTACACATTGCGAGGTTTTCCGTGGCTGTGCTGGACGGCTCTCTTGTGTTTTGTTTGCGAATTTGCGCTGAAATTTCAGTGCCTGAATTTGACGCTCAGAACGTGGAGCGAAACGTCGGACGTTGTGCCGAAGAACACGCCACGCAACCAGACAATGCATCGGTGAGATGTAGAATATTCCGTGTTTTGATGATGATGATGATAATAATAATAATAAAATAAATATTGCTTCTTTATCCAGAAAATAAAAGCAAAGTCGCAGGACACTTTTATTATGAGAGTCCTTACACATTGAGATGTTGGCCAATGCCATTCATGAGTGTGTGGCTCCATGTGGGACAACCCCCATAATGCATGTGAGGGGATAACACGCAAAGCGCAAATATCTGAACGGATATATTCAAGAACCCGTTGCTGCACTCGCAGCCCAAGCTAGCAACCCCTGGTGTTCGCAGTATCGCGTATCGGTACTAAGCAGGCTCGATCCTCTGGGTGATTTACCATTAATGACGAATGTACAATACTATTTTGAATATTTTGTTAAGAATATCATTTTTTATTACCCTATAAAAGCCATACAAATCGAGTTGCCACGTGGGCGAATGTACCTAATAATTATTGGCTTTTCGGCAAAACGGTAATTTTTAAAAGCGATTAAAAATTTGTATAATTGTGTACAGTTTTATTAGCATTAACCATGATGCAAACTCCAGTTATCCTCGCAGCGAATTTTGGCGAACCATCGACCAAAGACGGTCACTGCATCGCGCACTTTCAGATGTGCTTCTTTGGCCGTCTGGAACGCTCTTCCTTCCTATATTAGGAAGCCACTGGAGCTACGCACTTTTCAATACTCTCGATTGAAAACGAATTTCTTTAGAACTGCTTGTTGTGTATAGTTTGTTGTCCTCCCCCCGCACCTCCGATTCGCAGGCCTGGCTACGAAAGAAGAAGTTCAAACATGCATACATGATAACTAAATTGTAACAAAAAAAATGCATTGCTCGGATTAACATGAAACTCATCAACTAAATTTCGATTTAAAGCTTTCGTGACTGCAGGGATTCATCTTCTTGGTTCTTTCGGTAAAGTCACGTAGAAGGGAAGTAATAAAATAATAAAAATAAAACATAATAAAATAATTCTCACGACGTCCTCAGGTGAAAACCAGGTCAGACGCTGTCGCCTCGATAGACCTGGTCTTCACCTGAGGACGGCTGCTTGCGTTGTGGCCGAAATGTCGTGAGAATTATTTTATTATGTTTTATTTTTATTATTTTATTACTTCTCATCAACTAAACTTAAACGTTCTAACCCAAATAAATTAACCGGCTATGAATCACATTGTGGCTTGCCTTTAGCAGCGGGGGCTTGCAGTGTGTGTGGGGGGGGGGGAGAAGTGTGTGGGGGGGGGGAAGTGAGTGACTTTCGTGAGTAGAGGGGTAGGGTGCATGCGTTCAGTCTGGTGGCTGGGAGGGTGCGTTGCAGAAGAGAGGCCGTACACTCCGCCGCTTTTGTTTGTTATGGCCCCACCTCGGGGCTGGCTCGTTGCGATGGAGACGATACGACGCCCCGTGATAGAAACGCGTCGAACACACGGTGGCCTCCTCGCCTGGTGGAAATGGAGCGCACGTCCGCCGCTCATTGCGAGCTAAGGTGAGTGAGACGCGGAGAGAGATACGATCAAACCTTCCCATTTCTCCCCTTCTGTCCCATCTCGCTCTCTATTCTCTCGCCTATTCCCCTCCTCTCTCTCTCGTCTTCACTTCTCTTCGAGCGCGATCAATTATTCAAAGCGTGTAACGTGAGCGTGCCTCTGGGGCACAAGCGACTCCGCCTGTGGTCAGCTCTCGTTACCGTATTCCCCCGTTTATAAGACGCGCTTGTTTTCCCCTCTGTTTTAAAACATTAAATTGGGGGTGGGTGGGCGGGGGGGAGGGGTGCGTCTTATACTCCGGTTATCTGTGCGCCTGTGTGTGAGACCAGATTAGTTTCGCCTTCAATATTATTTCGTATTTTACGCCGGGCACAAAATTTTGGGGTGCGTCTTACTTTCCGGTGCGTCTTATAATCCGGTGAATACGCTCAGCTCGCGGTGGCCGAGCTAGCGAGTGAATGCGCTGCGCGTGGTTATTTTTTCTTATTTTTTTTGAACGCAGTGGTCCGCGCTGCGCTACCAACGCCAAGCCAGCCGAGTTCGATTCCCGCTCACGACTAAAAACAGTGGCGAGTATACGAACCGGTCCTGCCCCCCCCCCCAGGTCGACTCAGCCTTAAATCAGTACCTGGTGCGGTGTGCAAACATGAACACCACAAAGGCGGCCGGGCGTGGCGTTGGCCAGACCATCGCCGCGCGTGCTAATCTTAATAGGCGCTCGGTAACAGCACCTTGCCCCGACGGTCTGTTGAAGGCTACATGGGGGATCTTTGTCTTTTTAGCATTTCGGCTGTTCTCATTTCTGTCCTCTGGATAGGGGGCCGTTGCCCGAAACATCAGTCTACTTTATATTTATCAGGCATTACCAATTCGAGGAATATATTTAAACGCCGTGCTTTGTGTGACACCGTCACAACAGTCCCGTAATTGTGAGTCGTTGTTAATTGTGAGGTGCGTATACGTGATGCCCGACTCCAAACCTTAAAAATCTTCCAAGTTTGATGGGTTTTCTTTCTCTCAAATCTTTATCGCCGGTGCATGGCCGACGCTGCTTAAAGCATGTGACTGTGACACACACACACTCCCTCCCGTTCACTGTTTCCGCTGTTGGTAGCGAAAACGACAGCAGCCTTCGTCATTGTACATGTATATTTCTGTTGTGTTACGCATGAAGAGAGGCACACGTTGAGGATGCATAAGCACTTAGTATTACACTGCACATATAAAACTACGGCATAGTAGGCCGTTGATTATGATAATGGTGATTGGCAGTCAAGCTGCTGACGATGTGTAGTCACGGTGCCAATTTTTATCTGCCCCAGAGGCACCTCCGTGTGTCTCACGATTCGATTCCAAGAGATTCCTGACACGTTGGGATGCCTTGCCGAATGTCATTGGCGAGGAGTGTTTTGTTTCGTGTGGCCCTGCTTAGTGAGCTCCCTGGATCCGACGAGATCCGGTGCATTGTGAGTTATTAATCATATTCTTAGGTTTTTTTTCGGTAAAGTCACGTAGGTAAAAAAAAAATTTAATAAAAGTAAAATCAAATCAAAGAGAGTTATTTGCTGGTGGGACGATGATGATGATGACGACGAAGGCGATGACGGCGAGAGGACAATAGCAATATTCTACCGCTTATTTGGCTATGAACCATCACGGCCGATGCAACGCTCGGTTGTCCGATTCAGGAGCCCTGCAGCCAACAGATCACAACCTAAGGGCTGCGCGCTTACCCCGTGACTTCAACAGCCAGACAAGAGGATCATTCAACGACGTTGCCGACGTTGCATCTCGGTCATTGCCTCCGAACGGACATCGCCCTGAACGCCACCGATTTCGCCAGGTCTCCGAACGCCACGCATAGAGGCAGGGGGGGTTCCCACCCTGGTTGTAGCGCTTGGGGAGTTGGAATGTGAGCGAGAATCGAACTCGGGTCGCCGGGTTTTGCGTAGCGCGAGCGCTCACCGCCACCACGCGAGAGGATCGCGTCGTCGCATCTGCTGCCCTCCGTCGCGGCTTTATTTCAGCGTGGCTCGCTCCATGCCATCCCATCCCGCGACACGGCTACGGAGATGGCGCGAAGTCCAGCTTCGTGTCAGCCGAGATGCTCAACGTGGGAAATGTCTCTGGCGTTCTTGCAGGTCTCCTGCGATCGCCGAACAGACGACGTGCACGGTGCGATGAACTGAAAGGGCAGCGGCAGGGGCAGCTGACGAACGATCGCGAACTCTCAACGCCACCTGCAGTCTTGGTACTAAGTTGCTTTTCGACGCCCTATCGGTGTTTATGGGTTCCTGTTGTTGATGGGTTTTTTTTACTCCACAGGTGTCACTGCCACTTGTGGGGCCGTACGCAATGAATGAATAAGACATGCATGCATGCACACGTGCAGCGATGAATAATTAATGCCATTGTTCGTGGCGTTTCTAACCGCGAGTTAGTGTTGAAATGCTTTGTATTTGTGTACGTGTTACAGAATATGATGTTAACAGAAATCCGGCACGCCACTGTTTCTGCTTGGACATGAAATAAGCAACGCGTTGTGGTGATTGGTTTTATTTGCAAAAACAACAGACGGTCATCATTGAACAGTCAACTCGGAAGTATAGATACGTACAGACACGGGTTGTCTCTTGCCATCGCACAACAAATATACGCCATATCGCCTACATTTCGGCTGTTGAGGCAAGTGTTGTTAGCGAGCACCTATTAAAGAAGGCACACAACGCAGCACGCACACCTTCATCGACGACAACAACAACAACAACAGTGTACGACTTTGAAAAATATTCACCGGTCCAATTGGGGAAACACGCGGCTTAAAATCGTGCGTAGATTTTAACAAAAAGAACAACAACAACAACAATTCAAAAAGGACCCCACGAAGTCACCCAAAGTGAACACGATGGCCGAGGTGGACATCTCGTCAGCGGCGACCAAAAGCATCCGTCCGTTCCGCTCGAGCGAGGAGTACTTGTACGCCATGAAGGAGGACCTGGCCGAGTGGCTGAGCGCTCTGCACAGCATCGACATCACGGTGGACAACTTCCTGGAGGAGCTCGAGACCGGCACGGTACTCTGCCACCACGCCAACACCGTGAACCGCCAAGCCGCCGAGTTCGCAGAGGCTCAGCCGCAAGCCGCCGCGACCATGCAGGTAAAAGGCGGTTTGAGGCCCGGCGGCCGCCCTGGTTAATACTGCGTGTGTATTTACCCACCCCCCCCCCCCCCAACGCTCCTCTACCCCCAAAATGAAACGCACGGTCTTGCTGCACGGCTCACCGTAAGGATCCCGTGACGTGGGTGTGCGTAGGAGACACTGTTCCATATCCGCTAATTTGGAATGTTGATCAGGCAAACAAAAAACTGCAAGTATTGTGGTTAATGCAGACATGAATCCTTGTAAAAAGGTTTTAGTTTTGTTGCCAGAAAAAAGGGGGAAAATCCAATATTATATGTTGGTACTGGCAAAGGTGGTAAATCTTTTTTAGCTTGCACCGTGTATTGGGTTCCAGACGTCTCATTGTGACAGTATTAATAATAATAATGAAAGTATTTATTTAAAGGGACAATGCCCAACAATTAAGTAATCATGCGTCTTTGCTTTCACGGCGGGCCCCGTCGGTCTAAGATTTCCTCAAAGGGGGTGGATCGCGCAACTTTATACTCAATTAATATGATATCCAGATGCGTTAACAGCTGGGTCCATGGTAGACGGCAGGAAAATAAAATATGAATGAATATACATTTTCTTAACATGTTTGACTTTTGTTTATCTCTCGACGATTCGAAGCACCCCCTTGTGGTCGACGGGGTCCCTATGCGTCGCAGAACGCTGCCCCATAGCCCACCCCCCCCCCCCCCACCAATAGTTGCGCCTCTGCTCAAGCCTATCAATCGATCTTCAGCAAAGCAGCAGCATAACATTGTGGAAACCCCATTGGAACCTCATTTGCCAGTAAAAAATATGATAATTGTTTTTTTACCCTTTTATCTGGCAACAAAACTGACACCTTTTTTTACAAGGAGTCATGTTTGCATTGACCACAATACCTGCAGTCATAATGCAAACAAAAAACACAACTCTGATAATATATGTGCACTGTCCTTGAAGTTGATTGGTCCACACCCGAGACAGCTTTCCTTAGAGCCTAGTCTCACATGGTGTTGGACCAGATGACGCCAAAAGGCGCGCAACTCAAAGACAATGCACCATCAGAATATGAGAGCTCGGTGTAAGCATGTACACATTGAACCTCATTTGCCAGTAAAAAATATGCTAATTGTTTTTTACCCTCATATCTGGCAACAAAACTGTCACCTTTTTTACAAGGAGCCATGTTTGCATTATGACTGCAGGTATTGTGGTTTATGCAAACATGACTCCTTGTAAAAAAAGGTGTCAGTTTTGTTTCCAGATAAAAGGGTAAAAAACCAATTATCATTGTGGAAACATTCACGTATGGCAGCCCTGTCGAATGTCCGCATCGTCCTGCGGTGTTGGCACGACGACGCCGCTGCGGAATGGTTGGGCATTCAGCGTTCCGCCTCCGGATTATCATCATCATCATTAGTATTATTACAAGACGCTCCGGAAACTCTTCCAAGACGTCAATGAAGGTTGCACGAATCCGGATCGCACGCCAAAAACACCGACCCGATCGAGAAGACGCACCCGCCAAACGCTGAGCTCGAAATCGCCCGCGGGAAAGGGGCCGTCCATAAATGACGTCACGCACCTAGGGTGGGGGGGGTCAGACATTTGTGACGATGTGTGACAAGAGGGGGGGGGTTTGAGAAATGTGACGTCACATCAAAATGCGCAACTTTAAATAAATATAGACAACACGTTCTACTTAATTAAATAGACTTTTCAATAAATGTTTTCTCCTACAACATCAGAGTGCAGCGCCACATTAAATACGCACTACAATAGTTTAAAGCGATTTGAAGCATGTTTAATTTATTTTGTGGGGGGGGGGGGCAGAGCTTTGTGACGTCATTTGAGGGGGGGTCTGACTTTTTGTAACGCCGCGTGGCGAAGAGGGGTGGGGTCAAAAATCGTCCAAAATCGCGTGACGTCATTTATAGACGGCCCCTTGCCCGAAACGTCGCCTATTATACCCGCCACGTCCCCGCTCTGTCGCGGCTGTGCTGTCGACGAACGTGCTCAGTTTGTGTTGTCACGCTGCTCGGGATTTTGTGAATGGAACTCCCTCCCCTAGTCTCTTCTCGCAAGTCCCGATACAACCTTGCTCAGCTCAAGACGTTTTACAGAGGAACTCTCTCCACACAGCTCCCTCTGGGGGGGCGGTTTGTGTTCTTTTCCGTCAGCAGTGGAACGAGCAAGTCACTTTGTGTGTGTGTGTGTGTTAGTTAGTTAGTTGGAGCGATAGTGTAGCGGTTAGCGCTACACTGCGCTATGAACCCGGCGACACGGGTTCGATTCCCGCTCACGGCCAACACCAGTGACGATTATCTGAACCGGTCCCGGGCCTCCCCTAGGTCGACTCAGCCTCGAATGAGTACCTGGTGCGGTGTGTAAACATTGCCACTAGGGAGACAAAGGCGGTCGGGCGTGGTGCTGGCCACCCGCCCCCTCGTGTACCGTTCCGGCCTTCATAGGTGCTCGCTAACAGCACTTGCCCCTACAGTCTGTTAAGGCTATATGGGGGATCTTTGTCTTTGTTAGTTAGTTAGTTAGTTGTCCCCGCCCGCCCCCCACCCCCGGCACGGTTGGCTACATACGGTGCAAAACGAAGTTCAACACACACGCACACGCGCGCACACACGCATACACCTCCAGGCCTGCACCTTTACCTATGCCGCCCGCCCGCCCGCCACCACCGCAGCTTCCCCAGGGAGACCTGGCGTTCGCGTCGCGCGACGTGAAGACCCGCTCCTTCCAGGCCAGGGACAACGTCTCCAACTTCATCGGCTGGTGTCGACACCGGCTGGGCGTCAACGAGTCCGTCATGTTCGAGAGCAACGACCTGGTGCGTTTGGTGACAACGAGGCCAGGGTCGCGTCCCAATCTCAGAGATGTTCGATAAATGGGCGGGGGAGGGGGGGCCCTGCGCAGAAGTTTCATTGTTTTGTGTTCTTGCCAAACCGTCAGTTTCAATGTATTAAACGAAAACTATTTGTTTTTGTTTACGAAAGCCCTGCCAGGTGCTCGCAGTACGGGTAGACGTTGCCACGTGTAATCCCAATTGAGTAATTTTTGCGGGCGCTCTTTTCAGCATGGCATTGTTTGGCTAACAGCAAGTTACATCCTAGTAAGCAGGGAACCTTGGGCTTATTTTGGGCCAACTTTGGTCCAACGCTGGGCCAACGCTGGCCCAACGGTTCCAACCACGCGCCAACGTCGCCACCGACGTTTTCGCATGTCCACCGGGATCGTATCGTGACGCGCTGTCAAAAAAAAAAACATCATTCGGGGTGGTCGTCCCGACCTCGCGAACGAGGCCCTCACTCTCTACACCCCCCCCCCCCCCCCACGGCGGCGGGCCCAGGTCCTGCGGCGCAACGAGAAGCACTTCGTGCTGTGCCTGCTCGAGGTGGCGCGGCGCGGCGCGCGCTTCGGCATGCTGGCGCCCGTGCTGGTGCAGCTCGAGCGCGAGATCGACGAGGAGATCCGCCTCGAGAGGCAGCCCGAGGCCCAGCCGCCACCCCCCGCCGCTGCGCAGCCCCAGCGCAAGACGTGTGATCTCAAGAGCCTGGACGGCATGGTCAGTCTGACCCTGCCGACACCACCACCACCGCCACCCCCATACATCCATCCACCCCCCTCGCTGCCCCCCCCACCACCACCACAGTTTCACCACCAACACCTCCACCGCCACCCCCACCCACCGGCCACTCCTCCCCAGCCCGACACCACCTCCCCCCCCACCACCGTTCTCCCACCCATCCCTCTGCTCTTTCGGTTTCATTTGTTGTCCTTTCCACGGCTGGCTACCATAGGCGGTGTGTGACTTCTATATTTGGGGGGGGGGGGGGCAAGGGGTTCACTTTGTTCCTCGCGTTAGGGATTGTGGGTGCGTGTAATTAATTGAAAAAAAATTTACCTTCATTGTAAACTACTGAAAATAAATTCATGAAAATGTCCGGTTTGGCCGGGGCGTTGCTCCCCCGCCCCCCGCCGCCCGCCCTCCTTCCCCACAAACTCAGCCCATGTTGGCTACGTACGGTACAAAAGAAGTTCAACATACGTGCGTAGCCACTCCTCGCGCGGTCGCTGTCGAGTCTGCAGGCGGTGCAACTGCGCCAGACCAAAGGGTGAGGTGCGGTGGTCACGAACCAGATTGGGTATGAGGCACCAGGCATGGCCAGATTAAGAGTTACGAAGAGTCTAAGGCTAAATAGGAGGCAAAGGCTTAAGTGTGTATTATATATTGCAGAGAGTCATCAAACACATGTCATTATTTAGCCATGATTAACAAATGTATTCGACTCGAGGTAAATTCATGAAACGTAAATTACTCGCTACACTCCTGTCTTAAAAAAACATTGTTTTTACTAGCTTTAGCTGTGGCAAAGCCATGAATTAAGTCATCGTAATTCACAGACAAAAAAAATGTCGATGGCCGCGCTACCGTCGCTCAGCTGTTACTTCAACAAGGAGCACAAAATATGAGGGCATTATGAGCCTGTGGGGTTTTGTCGGTATGTCAAGTAAATTGTCACCATCAGGCCCATCGTCAGTGCACATCATCCGAGACAAAACTCCCAAACCTGCTTGGGCTGCATGGCGGCCAGCGGATGGATGTGCAGGAAGTGGGCTCTTTAACCTGTCCGTGCGGACCTCTTGAGTGCCATGCTCTCATTACGCGTGGCTTTTCTTGAGATGCTTCGGTTTTACACTCCCTACAGACACAAAAAAAAACCTCTCCTTAAAAAAGGAAACTGGCCAAATATTACCACTCGTTGCAAAAGTGTCTTGAGACTCTGCGAGGATTTTCCTGATGAATAAATTACACTTTCATTAAATGCAATATATGTAAACAAACACTTGCGAGGTCCGCTGTCATGTAACGGATTGACCCGGCCCACCGAGGTCCATGATTCCATTTCCGTGGCGTGGAGGCAGCCGTCGTTGTTTGAGGATCGGTTGTTCGGTGGGAGTCTGGCGCAACACAGATAGCGGCATCCTCGTGATTGGTGGCCGTTTGCCGCTAATGAATAGTATTTTATGGCCGCGGTGACGCATCGCTCGTAGACACGCGTCCCCAAAACAGCGAAGGGGGTCGCGGTGTGTCGACGGGATTGGAAGCGGAGAAAAGACAGCCCAGTCGGCAAGCCTCTCGGCAAAGAACGTATTTGCTTGTGCCAATCGCGATTGGTTTTGGGGGCCCAACGATTGTGGCCATGTGTGGTGTGCTAATCACCACGAACGGGGACAAAAGGATGGAATGGATTTTGAGGGTTTAGAGCTGTCGATGGGCCGTTGCAATTTTGGCAGGCGACTCTCTCTCTCTGTTGCTCGACAGTCCAGGTGGCGTCCGCTTTCCAAGAGTTTGCGTGACACAAAAAAAAGTGCCCAAAGGTCGCACTGCGGTTTATCCCGACGGTCCAAGCCGATGGACATCCTCGACAGCGAGTGCACGCGGCGCTCCTCACGGAGTTCACGGAACGATCCTGCAGATTTCGATTTAAAGCTTTCGTGACTGCAGGGATTCATCTTCTTGGTTCTTTCGGTAAAGTTACGTAGAAGGACAGACCCGTTCTCCACCTGAAGACGGCTGCTTGCGTTGTGGCCGAAACGTCGTGAGAATTATGTTATTATGTTTTATTTTTATTATTTTATTATTTTCCTTCTACGTGACTTTACCGAGAGAACCAAGAAGATGGATCCTGCAGATGTTTAGAAGCCGGCGCTACCACCGTCCCTGACAGCAACGAACGCGCGCGAAAAAGAAAAGGCCAAAAATGTCATCAAATGCACGTTGCGTTGTTCGTTACACACCGCTTACAGACACGGCTGTTGGCTCAGCGTCTCCTATAAATCCGAGTTACAGGGTGGCACTTTGCCTTTATTATGCTTTGTGGGACTCTCAAAAGGGGGCAGACGGCACTTTAATGCGCGCGCCCACCGAGTAAAATCCGTGCACGCCACTTCATTTGGCATCGTCGGCTCAGTTGGATTGATCGGGTGCTCCGATTTAAAAATCAACATCGATTCCGCGCATTCTCTGAGGCGCGCCGTCACAATCCTTGAACTGAACGCTACTGCATTATGTCAGAGCTGCTTGTGCGCGCGTGTTGATGTTTGGGTATATGCCAGTGTTCAGGTCTAAAAACTTCACGATAAACTTGCCACCACCCCCCCCCCCCCCCCGAAAATGATTTGGGGGCAAAATCCCCAGAGTTCGTCGTTGATTCAGGGGTCCGGTTGATTCTTCTCGGACTTGTGCCTCCCTGTTGCTCTCCTCTCTTTCTCTCTCTCCGCCCTCTCCTCTCTCTCTCTCTCAGGTCTCTCCAAAGGTGCAATACCCGGATCCCCTCCCCCTACCCTCGCTGCCATAATCTGCGTTGTTTTTCATTTTGTAAAGTGTCTTGAAGACACGATCGCATCTCGCTGCTAGAAATATATATATTCGAAAATCGCCGTTGATGATGTGGCCTGAGTTTACCCAGGAGTTCATATTCTTGGGTTTTTTCGGTAAAGTCACGTAGGTAAAATTTTAAAATTAATAAAAGTAAAATTAAAATAAAATAAAAAAATAACGACGTTTCGGAGGCAACACAAGCCTCCGAAAGTCGTGATTTTTATTTTATTTATATTTTACTTTTATTAATTTTTTGTTTAAATTTTTTACCTACGTGACTTTACTGAAAAAACCCAAGAATATGAATCCTTGCAGTCACGAAAGCTTCAAATCTAGAATTCACCCAGGGGGTTAATGCCAAGTCGTGGTGTGTCACCAGCACGCGTGAGGTTCTGGGTTTCAAATCCGAGTTGCAGCCACCGATAAATAACGCGGAGTGCTTCGGCGTGATTGTGAATTCATAGCCCCTTGCTTGGTAACCAATGGCTGCACAACAAACTCCAGCTCTGCAATCTGAAACATAAAGAATGCGTTTGATGGACGCCGGGGCCAACACGTTTATAGGAGGGGGCTTATAAAACAAAACAATGTGGTGACTCCAGCGGTGGGTAAAGTGAAGGAAATGCAGAAGCAGCTCTCCAAAAATCCATCTTCGCGAGACCGCTAACGCGATGCTGCTGTTGCGTTGCTGCCTTCAAGAGAACGACGAATGGAAATGCCTCGTGACAACGCGACGCTCATGAGCGCCAGCAGGAACTTATTCGCGAGCAAAAACGAATAATCAGACGTGAAACGATCCACCTCCCCCCCCCCCCATCCGATCCAATGATTTGTGATGATTCTTGGTGGCGATTCGATTTTTTTTTAACATGTAGATTTTTTTAACCTCCTTTTTCCAGTTACTTTGTATTATTTTTCCATTCTCTTGATCCCACGTCGTTGGCCTGAAATCTATCGTTCGCATGCAGTTTGCATAAAATGTGCATACCATTTGCATACATCGGAAATGATGAATTCTCACGCGCAAACTTAGATACTTGCATCGCGACATTCCAATCAATGCACGGCATAACCGCATTCTCCGAATTATGAGACGCGCCTTTTTTTATTGCCCTGCATTACAAAGAAACATGTATTGGTGCGTCTTATAATCTGCTACGTATGGTGCGAAAGAAGTTCGACGCACATACGTAGCCTATGATAATACGTGCAGTGTGTTTGAAAACATTTCTATAACTTCATGAAAACCGAGCCACAAGTTTGGGGTGCGTTTCATTTTTTACTTTCCAACCCCATCTTAAAATACGATGAACGTGATACGCGCCTGGCAAAACAACCTTAACCTTTTAAGAAAAAAACAATCTCGTATCATCACGATGATTATTGAAGGTTCAGCTCGGGCGTTGCGGCGGCGACGCTGGGCGCTCGCTACACCACGCGTGCCAGAAACCTGGCAACGAGAGACGCCGCCAGTCGGCCTGTGCACACAGCAGCAGCAGCAGCACCACCACCACCTCCCCCGTCCACCCCCGCCGCACCACAGAGTCAACACGGAGAGGGAGGGAGGGAGGTCGTTGCGGCAGCAGCGCAACAACCGAGACTCGCCACCGTGACGTCATCACAGGGGACCCCTCCCCCCCCGACACACACACAGTGGCGGATGAAACTAGTGCGGGGCCCTGCAGCGTATGTTGTCAAGGGGCCCTAAATAAAATAAAAACCACACAAATGTTGTAACTTGCATAGCAAAGTAATTGGATTTTTTCATTTGCTATACAACCGGATAATACGACAGATCACTAACCTTGAACACCCGGTCGTTCGTAAAAGTTGAAGGCGGTATAGTACTAGAGTAATAGCGCAAGTGCAGATTCGGTGAGCCGGAATTGATAGCTTGAAAGCGTTTAGCGCGGGGCCCTTGAAAGTGCGGGGCCCGTAGCTACTACATATGTGTAGCTACTACGTATCATATGTAGTAGCTACACATATGTAGCTACTTTTGCTACTGGGATAATCCGGCACTGCCCCCCCCCCAGCACGTGCGGTTCCCAAAGTTTCGAAAAAAAATTCGAGCTGCCACGGCGAAGCAAACTAACCACGGTGATGATGACGGCGGCGGTGACCGTCGTCATCGTCAATGTTGTTGCCCCCTTAGTAAATCTGAACATTAGGGGGCCATCCATTTAGTACGTACGCATGGAGGGGGCAGGGGGGGGTTAACCCAAACGCGTATGCTTGCGTATGGGGGGGTCTACTGACAATGTGCGTACGCATAGGAAACGGGGAGGGGGGGTGAAGCCTCGATAATAATGTGTCTACATTGGCCCTCAAATGAGTTAGATAGTCCGGCGGTGTCCTATTTGTTTGCTTAAACACGTTGATATTATTAATAATCCTTGATCGTTTCTGCGTAGATTCAATAGCGGCCGTTCTATAGGATTCGGGGGGGGGTGCGTCAGGCGTACGTACGCAGGTGGGGGGGGGGGGGGTGTAGAATGTCCGCGTGCGTACAGGGAGGGGCAGGGCTCAAGTTTTGACAGATTTTTGCGTACCTACTCAATGGATGGCCCTTTATTCTGATGATGGTTGTTGTCGATAACTGACTGTAATTCCCATGCTGGGGGGGGGGGGAGCAGCGTGGGTTGATGAAGGGGGGCGGGGGGGGCACGGGGGGGGGTCGTACTCGGGTCATCGGGGTTCAGGGTGCCGTGCGCTAACCACTGCGCCGCCGCTCCCCCCAAAAGTTCAGAAATAATTCAGTTCTACTTCACTGCACTTACGAGAAGGGGCAGGTTTTGATGCCATGACGCCAAGCGTTGAGTCTGAAACCACTTTCTTCCCGAGTAAATATCTCAAACGGCACTCAGTTCTATTGCCTTGACATGCACTGCATGGGACTTGCGGTATAAATAGCACGCGACGGTGATGATGATGAAGACGGTGGCGGTGGTGGTGATGATGATGGTCAAATACGTAGTCCGGACACATGGTCTGCGTTGTCGCTCAGAGCCACACGTGTCTCCGTGCCCGTCTAGGTGCGGTTCCTGCTCAGCCGATGCACGTGCCCGGTGCAGTTCCCCATGGTGCGGGTGTCAGAGGGAAAGTACCGTGTCGGGGACTCCAGCTCCCTCATCTACGTCAGGGTGAGACCCTCTCTGTGTGTGTGTGTGGGGGGGGGGCGGTAGTGTAGCGGTTAGCGCGCTGCGCTATGAACCTGGCGACCCGGGTTCGAATCCCGCTCATGGCAAACACCAGTGACGATTATCTGAACCGGTCCTGGGCCTCCCCTAGGTCGACTCAGCCTGAAATGAGTTCCTGGTGCAATGTGTAAACATCGCCACTGGGGAGACAAAGGCGGCCAGCAACCTACATGGCATTGAGGAGGCCTTCATCAAGTAGTGGATTCGTCACGGCTCATGATCGTAATAATCACGACGACGATTATGGAACCGTCCTTACGGCTCTCTCTGTGTCGGTGGCACGCGGGCAGATCCTGCGGAAGCACGTGATGGTGCGCGTGGGTGGCGGCTGGGACACCCTGGAGCACTACCTGGACAAGCACGACCCCTGCCGCTGCCTGGCCCCCAGTGAGAGTCCCCAACCCCCCACCCCAACCCTCCCCTCGCACCCCAACGCTGCCAACGCTGTAGCTTGACCTCGATTAAAGGATGGGGGGGGGGGCATGCAAAAACTCAGGGGTAGACACACAACCGCATTCAACAAACATTCATCCCGCACCTCCGATTAGCACGTTTGGCTACGTACGGTGCGTAAGAAGTTCAACATACATACGTATATACATGAAAGGATTGTTGAACTCAAAACGGAGTAACAATGCGATTCACGTTCTTCTGTCAGGCATCCGCTGAAGATCCTATCCCCCCCACCTCCCCCGTACAAATTATTCTAACATCGTTCTTTTTCAACGGTTTTATTTAACTTCACTTGTGTTTGTCGTGGTCAAATTTTGTAATCAAAATTTAGTCTACTTCCTGTTGTCCAATCAATTCCACATTTTGCACACGTACTCAGATCCGAAGACAATACAATTCTGTATCAAAATCGGCATCAAATAATAAATTAATTGCCTCCTTTCAATCAATAAAAAAATTATGGACGGCTTCTTAATTATATATATATTTTGTGTAGGTCAAAAACGCCGCGGCCCCTAAACTGTGGAATCGACTCGGGCACCATTGACGTACTTCTCGACCGTCAGTTAAACGAAGTTGTTAATAAAACCGTTGTTTTTTTTACTTTTTTCAAGGAGTTTATTTAACTTGACCATATAAATCTTCCTCTTCTTGAAAAAGCTGTGCCAATAAATATGTAAGTATTCCACGAACCTTAACGGCCCCAGTTTTTTGTCAATTGCATAATAATGATCCGCCACTCAAGGCGAAACATTTCCGTGCAGTTCTCCCCTCTCTTCCGGTGGTATCAGGAGATATTCTTATTCTTCCCGTGACATGCGCTTGTTTATTTGTACCTCAGAGGTGGCAACTTTACCCGGACACATGAAACGGCGTGAAGAATGACTGCGGCAAGCGCACCGATTTCACCGCGTGTGCGCGCACTACGCCTCTCTCACTCTCTCTCCCGTGCGAATTCCCCGCCCTCAGCTCACAGGACGCCGGTCAAGGCAGGGGGCTCATCGCAGCTCTCCAAAACGGCCACGTCGGTGTGCCCGGAGCAGACCGGCCTGGGGCCCAGGTCGGGCTCGCAGCTTCGCCTCTCTGCGACGACCCACGACCTCCGGCCCTACTCCCCTCTCCCCGGGACCGCTGAGCACCGTGGGCAGGGAAGGGAGGGGACGATTCCTCGCCCCGGGACCCCCGTGAGGTACGGTGATGGGGATGGCGGGAGACAGCTCCGTGGAACACGGGAGCAGGAGTTAGACTTTTGCGGACTTTCGCAAAGTGCTATGGTGACGACGACATCACTCGCTCGCCGCTGATGTGTGGCCATGTCCAGGTCGCCAGGGTTCCGAGCGTGGTGTTACTAGCTAGCAACCGCGCCACCGCTCCATTCCCGCCTACCGTCTTGGAGGATGTATGTACGTATGTATAACTTCTTTCACGCCGTACATAGCCAACCTTGCTAATTGGAGGTGCGGAGTATTATGGGTAAACGAACTTGGATCAGTTCTATTCACCAAAATAATGTATGTCCATGAGTCCAACACGTCTCCTTCCAGACCAATGTTTTCTATAAGCGTTTAAACTTCTCATCAGGAGGGTGTGGCCTTTGTAAACAATGCTACTGGGTTGCCCGTTGCTGTATGCAAGAGGACATTACTTGGTGGCTCCATGAATTGACCAATATCACCTTCATTTATCGAGGACCGCATAGCTCGAAGACTGGATTTTGCGTCAGCCCACCACGTGGTTGCCTTTACCGCTCGCCCGTGGTTCCTCCCCACTCCTTCGAGCCGTTCTCGCTCTTCGAGAGCGAGCGAATGCCGTGCACGTGCGCAATTATTCCCGTCTCACTCGTCTCTTTGCTCTCGTCATCAGAATGAGGGACGACGACATCGGCGGTAAGAGCAAGGAGAGGCGGAGGCCCCTTTCGACCCACGACCCGTTCGTCGGCGCGCAGGCCTCACGCCCGAGAACCCCGTCGCTGCTCGAGCAGCAGCAAGAGCAGCAACAGCAGACCGCAAAATTCAGACCAACGAGACCCCGCAGTGAAGTGGAGCCGACTCCTCTGCACAGCAGACCCTACTCTTCGGCGGAGTCGCTGACGGGCGCTCGGCACGATAACGAGCAAGTGCTGCTGCGGGTGCGGCGCAGCAAAGACGGCCGGCACGCGGTGACGCGCGTCGCGCTCGTCGAGGTCGCGCCCTCGGCTCGTCGGAGGCGATTGGAGGAGCCGCTCGAAGACGAAGCGTCCGGGGCGAGTGGCGCTCAACTCGGCTCCCAGCTGAAGGAGTCGATGAGCACGAGCCTTCCCGCCCGCGCCAGCCCGAGGCAGAGAGGGGCGGCCGCGGACGGCATCCGGCAGCTTGTGACCCAGCCCGCCACCGCCGTCAATAAGTATCTTCCCTGCGCGCCTTCCATGGACAGAGCCCGGTCACCGGCCCCGGCACGCTCTCTGGCGGTCTCCGGCACAAACAGCATCAAGAGCTCCAGGTCGCTGGACACTCAGCTCGACGTGGTGAGCTACAGGGCGCATCCCAACCGGCGAAGCGACCCTGTCCAGAGGGACGGCGCTTGGTCTCCGCAGGCGACGGCTCAGCTTGTTTACATCGACGAGCACGGGAAAGAGTTGGAGCAGGACGACGACGATGACGTCGACGAGGAGGACGCGAGTGTCGCGTGCAGGCCGCCGGGCGACCGCCCGCGCGAGGAGGAAGCGGAGCTCTACCGCCGTCTGGAGGAGGAGTTTCGGGCCAACATGCGCAAGAACAAGCTTGACGCAACGGCCGAGGGAGGAGGATTCGACAATGAGATGAACGACAGCGGAGTCGCCCCCTCTCTGTCGGGCTCCACACCCGCCGCGTCGCCGCATCGCGACTTCTCCGACATCGCCAAGAGCGACTCGGCCTACTCCTCCTTGCTGTCGCTGGAGACGATGCACCCCAAGCACGGGGGCCTCCCCAACGGCGCTCAACCCCGGGACCGCGCGAACAAAACCCCTCCCGAGAGCGTGCGCGACGAGTTCGCCTCCCCCCACCACGTGGGCCCGCCGTCCTCGCGTGGTGGCGGCAGCAGCAGCAGCCACCCGGCGCTCAGGCACCTGGGCGCCAGCCTCGACATCGGCGGCACCCGCACGAGCGGCGCCCGCACGATCGGCCCCTCATCGTGCGGCGCGTCGGACGATTCGGGCACGGAGCCGGTAGGGGCGAGGATTTCGGTGAGCGTGCCGGTGGCCCAGGGGGATTACGGCGCTGTCGTGGCCGAGCTGAAGCAGAGCTCCGTGCACCTCAAACGCGTCGACATGGATGGCTGGGGCAGCAAAGCGCCCGCGCTGGGCGCACTCCGGCGCGACGGGACGTTCACGCGAATGTCCAAGTCCGTGGACGAGGTGAGGGCCGTCGACCCGCAGCCCGCGGTGGAGGCCGTAGAGAGAGCGTCGAAGAACGGGCACCGCGACACGCTGACGAAAAGGCTGATCCTCGGCGAAAGGTTCAGTGTCATTGAAGACAGTCTCAGGTCGAAACTGGCGAAGGCGCCTCCCATCAACGGTTCGGACGGTGCCGTCAATGGTGAATGGCGCTCAAGTGAAAGCAGCCACGGAGGCGATTCAGACAAGATGTCGGAGGTGGCTGACGGCAGCGAGGTGAGCGCGACGCCACGGGTCGCAGACGATCGATTGCAGAATGATGGGGTGAATGGGGAAACGCTGGGTTTGCGAAATTCAATGGTGGCAGCAGCAGCAGCGGAACCACTTGCGTGCGGAGAAGAGAGGGCATCCAGGCGGACGCAGCAGCAGCAGGCTCGGCAGGGCCTCTCTCGGCCGAGGAAGAGCCTTCGGAAGCCTGAGCGCGTCCCGTCCATTTATAAGCTGAAGCTCCGCCCGAAGATTCGTCCTCGTCGTGACCACAGGCCAGAGCAACGTCCCTCCAAAATCCCCACCCCCACCGTCTACAAGCAGGCCGAGGCCGGCGACAAGGAGACCCCTAGCTCCGGGAGCCCAGATCCTCCGTCGTCCCCCAACAAGCTGGGCTCGCGAAGCTTGCCGACACCACGGCCGCAACACGCCACGAGTCCCCCTCAGAATTTGAGGAGCTCCCTCAACTTGCAAAATGGGGGCGGCTGGCAGTGGCAGCGCAGCCGGCCTTCCTGCCTGCGTGGCATCTCAACGCAAGGTGACCAGTGGGACGGCGCGAGTCTCGGCCGACAGCCAGGCGCAAGCGAGGCCCGGCGCGCCCCGATACGCCGTGGCCCAAGTGGGCCGTGCCCCGTCCACGCGGGCCACGGGAAGGAGGCCGGGTCAAATTGCCCGCGTTCCCTCCAACCGCTCCTCTGGGCGGCCCGCGAGCCGGCCGCCGCAGGGCAGCGGCGCGTCTCAGCTGGGCCGGGCCCCGAGCGTCAGGACGATGTCTCGGACGCCGTCGGCAAGACAGCTGGCGCGTAGGGGCTCCCGCGTGCGCAGCCTGCTCACGCCCAACGTGAGGGCCGAGGAGGAGCTGGGCTCCGAGGAGGACGTGTGGCCGCCACAGCACAGCGTTCCGCCGAGGGCGCACATCGCCGGCCGCAGGCTGCCCTCTACGCCGGACGCCAGCCCGTCCGGGCCTCGGGGCTCCGGCAGTAGCTCCAAGGCATGCTGCTCGGGGGCGGCAGCGGACGAGGAGTCGTGGGTGTGATCATGAGCGACCTGGCAGGGCCGCTGAAAGTGCTTTGGAAGGCCATCTCTGGAAGCTTCCGTGGCCATTTCTGAAGCACCCCCTATATGGCCCTGTGACCTGGTCCATCTCGATGAGCCACTGGATGTAAGTGTCTTCGGTGGGAATCAATTTCTGCACGAGCACCTTGGATTGTGCGTGTGTGCATAATGTGAATAACAGACCGATCGGCATGATAGTATTTTTCTGTGGTGGTGGTGGTGTACAATACGGTGTGGTGTTGCATAAGTAAGAGTTCTGCAAAGTATTATGCACAATGCTCCAATGTGTTCTGCTACGCGTGTTGAGTGTCAAATGCTAATGTGATCAAATGGGCTGTGAATCGCAAACAAATATTGAGCGTGGTGTGGCGACGAAGATTAATATATCGTTCAGCGTGAGAAAACAAGTGAAGGGGGAAAAACCCTCGGTCAAATAATTCATGAGCGACGTGAGTCCCATCATTGGTACAACTAGAGTAAACTCTTGATTATAATTATTATTCTTCCGATAATTCCGCTGCACAGTATTTGGCAGCTCACGAAGAGAGAGAACGACTAAGAGGGGTGAGGGCGCCACGGACGAGTTGTAAAGGCAGCCGGGCGGTGAGCCGCCGCCAAATTACCCCCAAGCTCTGGGGTCCCTCTGTATATTAAGGTGTTATTATCGGTCACTTAAAGAACGTTTACATGTGGGAGGAAAACCAAAGCACTCGGAGATATCCCACGCCTGGAAAGGGGGCAATGCGCTATCCCATGCAGATGTAGAAACTAAACTATATTCACTTGTACGTATACACCGCGGCTATGTATACACGCACATGGCAAGGGAGTTACACAACGCTTGTGTGATCCACCAACCTTAGCTGCCTCCACAGTGCCGGCTTACAGCTCCACGTTGCAGCATAGCCACCGCCGTGATAACGGGGGGAAGGGTAAGGGGTGCCGCCAAATAACCCAACAACACGGATATTGCGAAACGTGTAAAGTAAGGCGACAACAAAGCACTTCATAACAAAAGGTTAGATCGCGTTAGGTATAAATGTGTTGAAACCCTCTACCACCCGACACGGCCAATCAGTAAGGGGTTTGTCACGTAAACAAAACGCCAAATAGTTCACTACTTCAGCCCACCGGTGTGTTGGAGAGTACATCCACAACATTTACGTTTCGCTGGTAATTACATCCAGCATCATCGGGCGATTTGCCAGAATAGTGAAGCCATCCACCTGCTTCCGGTCTTAAAAAGCCACTGTTGATTACCTACATAGAATGGGGGTGCATACTTAGCGCGCAAGTCTTAATTTTTTTTCTATCCAATGCTCCTGAAAGTTGCAGTCACGTGGCCGCCGAGTCACGGACCCGTCGCGAGCGAGCAGCACCGAAACATGAAACACGAGCGCGCGTGTGTGAGATGTTTTTGATAATTATTTGATAAATTTAGTTTTAGTGTTTGTTTTTTTTTGCTTTCTTCGTCAGACGCAAGCACGGTTAATCCCGCAAGCCGCATAATCCGGATGATTATTAATCGGGAGCTCACGGCGACTAGTTTGACGTCCCGCGGAATGGGGTCGCAATCACCGGCCACGTGCGTGATGATGACGTAGCCGTCTCTGATCTTTAGTCTCCACGTGGGCGCTTTTCATCACCCCCCCCCCTCCTCCTCCTCCCCCCGCCTCCCCCTTCTAGCCCCCCCCCCCCCTTCTTCTTCTCTCACCCCCCTCCGCCCCACCCACCACCTCCATCCGTGGCCAAATGAAATCTCGTCCCACGACGCAACCCCCACAGTGGCGGGCACTTTTGTCGTTGCTGGGGGTTTGGATTTGTTGGCGACGACTTTCAAAGGAAAACACGGTGGGGCTGAGCTGGCCAGCGCCCCTAGGGGCCGTCCATAAATGACGTCACGCACCTAGGGGGGGAGGGGGGTCAGACATTTGTGACGATGTGTGACGAGGCGGGGAGGGGGGGGTTGAGAAATGTGACGTCACATCAAAATGCGCAACTTTAAATGAAAAAAATATTAAATAGAATTGTTATAACAACACTATTTTTGATAAATTATCATTATTAACTATTTGATTATATAAATTTACTAAGGTCACCTTTTATTTATTCCATGAATAGAGCATTTTGCTTCTCCATGGGAGAATGGAGAAGCATACATTTAGTAAATTTTTTGAATGATTGTTATTAAACATTTTGATTCTAATGATTCTACCAGGGCTTTTAATTCTGTGAAATGAATATATGATTGTTATAATTGTACTCTCCATTTTGCTTCGTTCTACTACAAAGTTTCAAGTATTTTTTTATAGTTATAATTACTTTTAATTTTTAATAATTCTAAGAGAATTTCAATATAATATTCTGAACATCTGCAGTTTTAGTTAGACGTTGAATATTTTCAAGTGAATTTTATGCAAAATTTCAGCTTTCCAATGCCTCCTTTTTTAATACATGATTTCTCCTACAACATCAGAGTGCAGCGCCACATTCAACGCAACTACAATGACAATAGTTTAAAGCGATTTGAAGCATGTTTTATTTTCAAAATGGAAATATGGTTTGGGGGGGGGGCAGAGCTTTGTGACGTCATATTTCAGGGGGGTCTGACTTTTTGTGACGCCGTGTGACGAAGGGGGGGTTAAAAATAGGCCAAAATCGCGTGACGTCATTTATGGACGGCCCCCTACGAGAGCGGCTACTCAAAAGCGGCGGGGGCGGCTCCGTCGACGAAATCCACCCACGAAGTATTTCGTTGCTCTGTTCCGAGACGCGGCTTTCCATCAAACGCTGCCGCTTGTTAAAGTTTCGCTGCGTCCGCTGGCGGTGGTTGCCGGTGGGTAGATGGAGGGAGGCTCGTGAAGGACGCTGCTGCTGCTGCTGGGCAATCGAAGGCAGTCGCCCTCCAGCGACGGAGCGACGCTCACAACAACGAGCGAGACGCCGGGCGGCTAAAATGGAGCAAGTTGGCACAGCAGGGGGTGCAGCTGGTGGTGCATCTACCGGTCATCTCAGTCGGCCAACTCGTGGCACCTGCTGGGTCTGTCCCGAGACCTCCTCCTGACAGCAGCGAGCCTTCGACACTCCACGTGATAGCCTCAAAGTGCACCTGGCCTGGCACAGGCGCCGTGGTGACGTCACCGTCATTTAGTGGCGAATGGCGCGGGTATTGGTGGTGCCAAAGCCAGTTTGTGGTTGTAGGTCTGTGACGCTTAAGCCAATCAGCCTCGTTGCGTGACCTTGTTTAAATGGGCGTGGGAGGCGCGTGGGGGGGGGCAGCCGTGATGCTACAAAAACTCAGATGGGGTGGGGGGCACGACTCAATCAACGTTAAACAAACTTTAAGCAAAACTTAAAAGAGCTGAACGAGATCGAGTAGCGAGTTCGTTCGATCTTGTGCAGACATTTATTTATTTTTGCCTTAACCATTAAAAGAAATTGGAAATCTGGAAAAGAAATCCAATGAGTGTGCTACGGCCGACGATTAACTCTTAAATAGCTTGGAAATGGCAGCCTCCTCCTGAGCACCAGCGGGAAGTGTTAACTGCAGTGGTTTGGTCTTCTCGCGAGGAGCAGCAGCAGCAAAAGCAGCCTCTAGAAAACAGTGGACTTGTGCAGAGAGCAGTCGCAGGCAAAAGAGATGAAGACTGAAAGAGGCTTGGTTCGGTCCCCATCGTTTGTCGCGGTGTCACAGAGGTCACTGATTGCCGAGTCACCCCGAAGGGCACCCCCAATGATCAAATCGCTCAAGGGAATATTAGCGGTGGTATCAGAATCGAAAAAGGGGGAGCTGATCCTTCAATGGGGTGGGGGGGGGGGGCTAAGCCCCCTCCAGCAGCACGCCCCCCCCCCCTCCCTCCACCTCGCCCCCCTCGAACGCAACTGGGCTGAAGACAACGGTGGGTCGAGTTTGACTTGGAGAACGTCTCGAGACGGACGAACGCAACTCAACCTGCAAACCCAGTAACCGCCTCCACGCCGTCGGTGCCAAAGTCGATTTATCGGCATCACGGAGCAACCGCTTCGTTCTTAAATTTGGAGCTTTCGTTACTGCGGGAATTACTCTTGGTTCTTTCGGTAAAGTCACGTTATAAGATAAAATAATAAATTAAATAATAGCATACGACGTTTCGATTGCAACACAAGCAATCGTCATCAGGTATAAATGAAATAGAGACGATCTCCCTCTCTGTGCCTGTGTTACTCTCTCTCTATGTATCTTGGTGATATCTGTCTGCTTATATGTCTGTCTATAGTTTTATGGTTAGATTTTTGTTGCTATTTCATTTATACCTGATGACGATTGCTTGTGTTGCAATCGAAACGTCGTATGCTATTATTTAATTTATTATTTTATCTTTATACGTGACTTTACCGAAAGAACCAAAGAGCAACCGCTTCGTGTTGTCGCCACAACGGACGACGTCGTTGGTCATCATCCTACAGCCGTCGTCACGCGCTCAGGGAAGTTTGGTGCGCTGCGTAAACAAAAATAATCAAGTGGCCTCCGATCATCTCGGAAGCGTCGTTCCGTTCAGGTGCCTGTGCCACTCGAAGTCAATTCGACGCGTCACCCGTTCCGACGCCGCACGGCTCGATGCACTTTCTCGCTTGCCGAGAGCTCCGTTGAACGCAGGCATCGGCACAATTTGTGTACTTTAGCGTGTGTGCGTTTTTGTTTTTCGTATGGGTTATTTTATTCTCATGGTAGCCATGCTGTTGAGAGCGGGGAGGGGGGTAGGTGTCGGCGGGCGGGAGGGGGGGACTGGTGCTGTACCCCATCGACAGAGCTTATCTGGAAGAAGAAGAGGAAGCAAAACGTTGATATAATTGTATTTTGATATCCCTTGGAAAATAGCCGGGCACACTGGCTAACCGGAATCATCATCCGTGTGACAAATAAACTCAATACAAATTTTGATTTAAAGCTTTCGTGACTGCAGGGATTCATATTATTGGTTCTTTCGGTAAAGTCACGTAGAAGGGAAATAATAAAATAATATAAATATAAAACAATAAAAATTCTCACGACGTTTCGACTGCAACACAAGCAATCATCATCAGGTGTGAAATCCACAGCAAAAATATATATTTTTTTAATTGATATTTATATTATTTTATTATTTCCCTTATACGTGACTTTACCGAAAGAACCAAGAATATAATTGTATTTGTCAATCGGTGCTGTTGATAATTCCGCACCATTCAATCATCAGCATCAGCCATTGTCTATCCACTGCTGGATGAAGCCCCCCCCCCCCCCCCCCCGCACACACTGACGCCATCCCTCGCAGATCCTGCGATGCCACAATCCATCTCGCTGTTGCCCCGGGAACCGATTTCATTGCTTCGTCATCCCGGGTGCAATTCATCTCCATCCCCAGTCTCTTTCCTTCGGCCATCGTTCCTTCCACGTGCGTGTCCTGCCCAATCCCCCCCCCCCCCACCTTGCTTAACATTCTCAAGAGGACGACGCCTCCTTATGCGCGTTTTACTCCCCCGATCCACGCGTTCAAGATTCCGAGTGTGCGTCTCGGCATGCTTCTCTTTTTTTATTTAAAGCTTTCGTGACTGCAGGGATTCATATTCTTGGTTATTTCGGTAAAGTCACGTAGAAGGGAAACAATAAAATAATACAAATATAATTATTTTTAAAATCATAGAAAGATAATTATTTTATTGTTTCCCTTCTACGTGACTTTACCGAAAGAACCAAAGAATGCTTCTTTTTGTTTTGTAGATGTGTCTGTCCGTGCCCATGCGTAGACCACGTCGTAGTGGGTGATCATTTTTCACTCGCTCAAAACGTGTGGTGGTCTTCATGCGCATCCGCTACGTTGCTCTGCGCCGTCGTATTTCGTTTTGAAAAATGCGCTTCGTCCTCCTCTCGTTGGCCTCTCTGTTACATAATTTCAATACAGATCCGTCCCGAGGCGTCCACACTCCACTCGGTGTTTTCCCATCCCGTCTCCTCCCGACGACTTCCAGTATTTTTATTCTGACGAGCAAGATATATATACAACGACGTTAAACAACACCAAAGTTTCAGCTTTCCCAGAAGCAAATTGCACGTGTATATTATTTTTTTTTATCATTAAAACGTGTACCTCGCCAGTTATTTTATTTTACCCATCCCTTTGCCTACGTTGACCTCTGTGATTGAAATGACCAACGGTGAGATTTGGCGTGCCTCTCCACGTGTCTCAGTTCCGCCTGGCGACGATAGCTCCCAGCACTCGCGTTTCGCTAGGCTCGCCCAAGTGAAGCAAAACACCGAGGGTTACATCTCCCGCTCACCTGACATTTCTGCTTAGCCTCCTACTCATCAAATTACAATCGTATTTTACCCTATCGGGTTTATTGCTGATCGCTGCACCACCGCTTCCCCTTACTTTTTGATTATCAAAAAAAAAACGTTCGACGTTTGTGGCTTTTAAAGTCCGTGATCGAGTGTGAAATTTCGAGTTCGTACTTCAAACCTTTTGTAATGCTCACCCAGAGGAGAAGTATGTTTTGTTTAAGTGGCCCTCCTTTGCATATTTGATGTGCTCAGATTGAATTGGGATTCGAGAGGATTTGCTCTCTGCCAAAATTAAAATTACTTGTGTAAATAAAATAATTTTAGAGCCTTTGTCAATCAACCGCTCGGCGAACGCCTTTCTACGCAGAGTTGTGGGGGTTGTTTTTGTTTTACCATAC